CAAATCCAGAGGTTCAAGGTCCTGAGGTGGGAGGAGCAGAGCACCCAAAGGAAGGAGGTTGAATCCCAGAACCAAGGAAAGTGAAAGGGGGAGGAGGCCTTGAACTTGTGGGATTATAGACATGCCAGCGCACCTGACTGGATGTAACTCTGGACAGTTTTGTTCTTTTTATTCCTCCTCCTCCTTTTTTTTTTTTTTAATGTGGTCATGGGGATTGAACCTGGGACTTGGTGAATGCTAGGCAAGTGTTCTGTCACGGAGCTGCATCCCCAGCCCTTTTTAAAATTATTATTATTATTATTAGTAGTAGTAGTAGTAGTAGTACTGGGGATGAACCCAGGGATGCTTAACCACTGAGCCACATTTTTTTATATATATATATTTTATTTAGACAGAGAGTCCTGCCAAGTTACTGAGGCTGGCCTCAAACATGCAATCCTCCCATCTCATCCTCCTGAATTTCTGTGATTATAGACGTGCACCACTGTGCCTAGCTGAACAATATCTTATAGATGGATATTTTGAGTATTCTCAGTTTTTGAATATACACACACACACACACACACACACAGTCCTGGAATGAACACTTTATTTGCGTATCTTCTTATGCTTTTGTAAAATGTATCTTACATGTACCCTGTAAATATTTTTGAGGGGAACACATTTCTCCAGCAAGATGGCACAACTGGTGTATTCCCACTGGCCCCAAGGGCCCACACTGTTGCCAACTGCAGGGTTTTGCTTTAAAATACAAATCTTAGGGGCTGGGGCTCAGTGGTAGAGCACTCGCCTAGCATGTGCAAGGAGCTGGGTTCAAGCCTCAGCACCACATAAAAATAAATAAATAAAATAAAAGTATTGTGTCCAACTACAACTAAAAAAAAATTAAATAAATATATAAAATAAAATACAAATCTTGGTCGACTCGGTGGGCACAAAATGACATGTCAATGTTTGAACCTGAATCCTTTTGAATATTAAGTTGAACCTGAAACAATCTTATTTTTCTCGCAGAAACCCCTGAATGTGACAGTAATCCGCAGAGGGGAGAGACACCAGCTCAGGCTTGTTCCAACGCGCTGGGCCGGGAAAGGCCTGCTGGGGTAAGGTATCTGCCTCACTCATGCACACTGCAGCGTCAGTGGAGTGTTAGCCATAAAGTGGGGAATTCCAGGGGGCTTGCTGAATTGTGGGAATCCCCAGAATATGTAGAAACTGAGACAAAGGCTTATAGTAGCAAGGAGGCTCTAGGTGTAGAGGCAGAGAGAGCCTCAGGGTCTCCTGAGGGTCTCTGGGCCTTTCATCAGCTGGGCATTTGCTTTGAGAGAATGAAAGGGTGTCGGTGAGGAGCTCCCAAGGGCTCACCTGCTCGCCCTCCCAGTGGGCCACCAGACTAATGCCATTCCTCTTCTTCCTTGTAGCTGCAACATCATTCCTCTGCAAAGATGACTGTCCCTGGGAAACAGTATCGGAAAGCTTCTTCCCTTGCCCTGCCCGAGAGCCTGGTGGGGATTTCCTCATTCTCTTCACTCCCAAAGAGTAAGGATCTGGAAGAGGCTGGAAGCCGGACGTCTAGGTGGTGGAGATGCTGTGGCCTCCCAATGTATCTCTCTGGATTAAGGCATTAAAAACGAGATTTGTGCTTGGCATCTTTGGCACATTGGGCCATGTCCCAAAATGGGAATTCTCTGGATTGTGGGCAAGTGGGCGGGAGTTATTCTGGCAGGTGCCCATGTGACTTTATTCCTTTAGGAATTTTGTTTTTCAAATAAACACTGTTTTGCAGTTCTGATATGACTGTGTTGTCACCCAAGCTGAATTTATTAGGAACCTCTCAAAACCTAAGCTCGGATGGGGTTGAAATATTCTTAAAGTTGGGCAAAACAAAACAAAAAAAAAACAGCAATTGGGCTGAAGTCAAGATTTTTCCAGCAACTTTCTTTGCATTGAACCATTGCTACTCTGGACACAGAAGTTTGGTATCCTTAGCCTCTGAGCCTCTACAGCCACCATAGCTCCCTTTGGAGAATGAGGAAAGCCAGGAGGTTCCCTGGGTGGCCCAGTGTGTGCCAGCTTCCTCTTCAGTAACTCACCAGAGGGCAGCAAGCTCCCTTCACTTCTAGAATAAAAACTCCTGCAAATTTGCTTCTAAATTGACTTTTTACCCTCGTACTTTCCAGCCATGTCCTAAGAACAACAGTTTTGTGAACTAAGGTATGCTCAAAATTGTGTTTACAGATCTGACTGTTGAAGATGCTGCTGCTTTCTGCCTTTCATTCTCTCTTTTAAGATGTCAGATGGGTTTCAGTGATTCCTGGGACTCTGCATCTTAATTTCTTGTTCCAGTGTTTATTTCCCCAGCTCTTGCAGACCACTTTGTGTTTTGGGGGAGGTCTGGCACATTCTGCCAGGAAGCCTGCATTACTTAGGATTGGATTTTCTGGAGTTAGATGCAGATACCAGCTTCCCCTGATGGCAGTCGATATTGGTGTGTGCTTCCACGGTGGGTTTTCATGCTCAATTTGAAAGGCATCGTAGGAACATCTTCCCACAACTCTCCTGCCGTACAGCCTCACATTTTCCCTCTTATAGCCACAGACATGCTATGTACCAGTGGATGCTGTATAAATTCCATGTTCTGATTCCAAGTATTTTCCAGTCTCTTTTTGTAAGTCCCAGACTATAATAAACAGCTTGCACCATTCAGTTTATCCCTTGGTATCTCCTTTGTTCCTTTGAGCTGTGTGCATATGAATCAGCTTAGCAGCAGTGGGGGCATGGTGGGAGGTGGGAGTGGGGAAGAATCATTCACCTTCTAAAATGATAGCAGCAGAGAGTCTTCTGTGGCAGTACCTTGGCTGGTTTCCTGCAGGCCTCCCCTTGGAAAGCCCAGAATAGCCACCTGTTGCACTCTCCTGTGCAATTCTGGCTGGGAGTCAGTTTGACCCTAAATGATTTAACCACGCTGGTTTTGCAGAATTTTTGTGATAAGAACAACAAGATCCTGCAACCTGGATAATATTCAATCCCTGCTAGCCAAAATTCTCTGTACCTTCAATGTCCCAGCCAGAGGCAGGTGATAGATTTGTGTAGTATTCGTAAGACTAGGAAGTTCAGTTTGCTTTTGGCAAGAGGAATTTTATAAAATAGTTCATTCCACTTCACATAATCATGGCCAGCCTTGGGAAAGTCAGAATTGCCAGTGTTGGTCGTGGCAGTTTCTCCGGGGATGACACCATGGGGAAAGCCAGGGAGAGTTCCTGGAGTGTCAAAGAGCAAGGGGAGTAAGAGCTGCTACCACAGTGGCCGGCAGGGGGCGCGCGGGCCCGGCTCGCAGCCTCTTTCTGGGCACGTGACCATGGCCCTGACCTCTCGCTTTACGGTCGGATGCCCCGGCAGGCGGCAGCCGTTGCCATGGGGATGGAGCTTGGGTGGCAACCGTATCTAGGGAGCTGGTGAAGAAGGTGCCCGCTGAAAGTCCAAAACCAGCTGAGGGCTGCAGGAGGCAGGACCCCGGCTTTTTGAGGAGCAAGGTGGGCGCGCTCTGTGAGTCTGGGGCAGAGTCCAGGGGCCGGTGGGGGTCGCGGCCTCGGGTGGCTGGGGGCGCAGGAGGAGGCTACGGCGCTGGGCTCTGCCCCCACAGACCCGCACACCTGTCCCCTCCCCAAGCCCCATGTCTCCAAGCCGGCCAAGGTGCCTGGCAGTTTGGAGAGTCAGCTGCTGCTAGCTTTCGCAGTGGCTTCGCCTCCAACTCGTGTTTGTTGTAAGGAAAAAATGAAAAGAGTATGTCAGAGGGCTTTTAAAGTGTTCATTTCTTTGCAAAATTAGGGTTGCTTTTATCCTCATAATGACCATTACCTTTTTTTTCCCTGCACTGTGTGCGGGAACTGTGTTGAGCACTTGGCGCCTTATCTAATCTTCACAAGCCCTGAATTTAGTATTATCATTTTGATTTTGCCTGTGAGCAAATTTAGATTCTGAGGGGTAAAGCGACTTGCCTAAGGTCATGGAGCAGGTGAGGCAAAGAAATGGAATTCAATGCAAGGCTTTGACTACAAAACCCATGCTTTAACCACAAAGCTACACTGCTTATTCTCTTATTTGTGTCCTTGGAGTCATTGCTAATGCCTAGGTTATGAATTTTGCTGCCTGTGGGAATGTGAATATATTTTAAATGAGTTAGAAGGCTCTAAGCATATTCCTAGAAAGATGAGAGGGCATGGAATCAATATTTTTAAGATTCAGGCTGGACTTTCCCAAGAATATGACATTCTTGCTGGGTGTGGTGGCACACACCTGTAATCCCAGTTACTTGGGAGGATGAGGCAGGAGGACTGCAATTTCCCGGCCAACCTGGACAACTCGGCAAAACCTTATCTCAGTTTTTTTAAAAAAATGGGTGAGGGAGCTGGGAACATTAGCCCATGCCTATCGCTTGGGAGGCTGAGGCAGGAGGATCATGAGTTCAAAGCCAGCCTCAGCAACCTAGCAAGGCCCTCAGCACCTTAGCAAGATCCTGTCTCTAAATTTAAAAATATAGGGCTGGGGTTGTAGCTCAGTGGCAGAGCTTTTGCCTAGTGTGTGTGAGGCACTGGGTTCGATCCTCAGTACCACATAAAAATAAATAAATAAAAATAAAGGTATTATGTCTATCTACAACTAAAACATTTTTTAAAAAAAGACTTAAATTTTAAAATATATTTTTAAAAAGAGGGCTGGGGATGTGGCCTTGTAGTTAAGGCCCCTGGGTTCAATCCCTGGTACCTACCCACTCTCCCCCACTAAAAAAAGGGCTAGGGATATAGCTCAGTGGTAGAGCACCCTGGATGGCCTCCATCCCCAGTAACAAAAAAAAAATATGATATTCCTCTTATTCCTGTGTAAAGAAACCAGAGCTGGTGTTGCACATTTCATCAATAGGATAGTACACCCAGGAATCAAAATGGGGCTTGCTGATTATTATGATCAATATCTCTCTAGAGGAACCTCTACAGAGAAAAATGTCGGATGCAGAAGAAAATGCCCTGGAAGAAGCAGAAGAAAGTGAAGAAACAGACGTGGAAGAAGAAGAATACAATTTGAATTCTAAAGAGGTAGAAAATATGGAGCAAAAATCAAAAGAAGATGACACATCAGTATGGAGAGAATCTCAGGAGGAGGAGGAGGGGGAAGTGATGGAGGAGGAGAAGGAGGAGGAGGAGGTGGAAGGAGAAGAGATGGAGGAGGAGGAGGAAGAGGTGGAAGGGGAAGAGATGGAGGAGGAGGAGGAGGAGGAGGAAGGGGAAGAGATAGAGGAGGAGGAGGAGGAGGAGGAAGAAGAAGAAAAGGAGGGGAAAAGGGATAAGGAGAAGGAGTGGAGAGAAGAAACAAAAGAGGAGAAGGGAGATGAGGGAGAGGAGAAGGAAGAAGAAGAGGGTGAAGGTGAGGAGGAAGGAGAGGCAGAGGAAGAGGAGGTGGTGGTGAAGGAGGAAGAGGCTGTTGTAAAAGAAACCGAGGACAAGTTTGGAAAAACTGAGGAAGAGGTGGCTGCAGGAGTCCAGGAGGACATCACAGTGATACCTTCAGAAATCATGTCCATGATCAGTTTGGAGAAAGAATTTTCTAGTTCTCAGTCATCCATTTCAGGAGCTTTCCTGGTAAGTAGAATTGTAATTCATTCCTCCATTCATTCAAAATCATTAATTGAATACTCAATATACACCAGGCTCTGGGGATACAAAACCAAATAAGACACAATCCATTTAATTAAGGAGCTCTAGGGTATGTCTGGAGGCAGACCCACAACTGCATACGTAACACAACATGGAGGTGCAGGGATTTTGAGATGCACAGGAGATTTAAAAAAAAAAAAGTCAATTTAACCCATTTAGGAGGATGATCAGGACAAGTTCCCTGGAGGGAGGTGTGCACTCAGCTGACTTTAAAGGGCAGTAGGGGTTAGCGGAAGTGGGCTCATCTTAGCATCAGTGCAATAACAGTGGTATTGGCCTCCCCAGTCTGTTCCTAGTGGGGGAGAACTCAGCCCTGGCCCAACATAAATAACTCTGTGTCTAGCAGGCTTTTGGAAACCACCAATGACACTTAAAAGAATGATTTTACTGTCGTTGCCTGCTGGTAGGCTGAGAATAAATCCAGACTCACCCAGGACTCATTTTTTTTCTATTAGTTATTGATGGACCTTTATTCATTTATTTGTTTATATGCGGTGCTGACAATCGAACCCAGTGCCTCCCACATGCTAGGCAAGCCATCTACCACTGAGCCACAACCCCAGCCCCTTGGACTCATTTCTTAAGTACAAAATGTGCCAGGCTCCTGACACATTATGAAAAACATCTCATAATTCCAAGGTGAGGCTAACACCAAGACTGGCTGGTGAAGAATAGAGGGAACAATAAATAGGAGAATGTGCAGGAGGCACTGTGTTTAGAATCATGATCTCCTTTTATTTCTTTTTAAAGGAAACCCAAGGAGATAAGTCTTCCTTACCATCAGGCAATTCTGAAATAAATGAAATTTTAAGAGATCTCAGCTCACAACATTCATTTCTAGATTTGGAGCAAATCAATAATGAGATTGATCAGACAGATTGGCAGTTCCCAGAAGAGCTTGAGGAAAAACCTGGAGAAGCTCCCCAAGACACAGTGGAACAAGCAAAAGGGGATTTGATATCAGAACAGGAAGCCACAGAATCAGAAGAGGATGAAAGGACACATGAAAAGAAAGAGTCATACAACCTCACTGAAAAAGGAGAAAAAGAAAGGGTCTCCAAGGAGTCCCTGGTGTCCACCACCACAGAGGATTCCTTGTTCCAAAAGGATGAGAGCACCCCTGTGTACCCCTTGGTAAGCATAAAGTGCACCTTCATTTCCCTGGTGCTTGGAGAGTATGAGAAAACAGGAGAATTGCATGTGTGTCTGGAGAACGCCCTACCAGAAAGATGCTTTTTAAGCTAAGAACTCTGGTTGGACATGTGTGATGAACGGGAACATGAACGCTCCATCTGGGTTCAATACTGTTGCTCAACGGGCAGGAAATTCCATGCATAGTTTGTTCCATAGGGTGCTGTTTTGAGCAAGAGACTCAAAATCTCGTCCTCCCTCTCTCCCCTTGACTTTTCTCCCTCTCCTCCCACCCTCTTTCCTTTTCTTCTCCTTTCCCACCTTCTTCTCCCTCCTCCCTCTTTCCTCTCCTCTCCACCTGCCATGTTGTAACCTCCCGGGTCCCTTCAGTTCTTTCCCTTCCCCTTCTTGCCTCACCTCTCCGCCCTCCACTGGGTTGATGCCTTTATGGACTCCCCAAATCCTGGCCAGAAAAGTGACAGGTGTGATGAAAGTGGAGACTGCTTTGCAAAGCACCAGCCTGTCCCAAGGACTCTGCCTCTGCTGCTGATATTCCAGGGAAGCACCATCTGGGAGGCATAAAAATATTATCATTTACTCAGAGAAGGAAAAGCAGGTTTTTTTTTTTCTTTTTCCCCTTCTTCTTCCTCCATCTGCTACTTTCAGAAAATCATTTCCTAGGATTTGCCTTGTTTTTCTTTTTTCCTGTAGTCTTATGCCTGTGGAAAGTTTGGCAGCAATCGATGGCATATAAAGTACCCAACATAGCTCCTAACACAGTGACCCACCATGGGTGTTCTACACTGTATGATGCAGAGGACAAGGACGATGGGGAGTGGAGTCATCCAGTGGGGAAGGCAGACTGCTACAAACCTCCTTTCTAGAGATTTGACCTTCTTTGAGCAGGGGTCCCCCACAGCCTGCAGTTGTTCAGCCTGAGCTGTAGACTAATGGGGCTGTGGGCCCATCCAGACTTTGGTCTTATTTCTCCAGCTCACCAGAGCTCAGGTAGGATGGCCACAAGAGCGAGGAATCCATGCCCGGCGTGCCGCTGGCCTCCAGGAGAGCCATTCCCCAGTTCTGGTTCCAGTCGGTTTTGGTCTCGCTGAAGGACCAAAACTTTCCCGGATCTTTGCAAGTTTCTTTAGCTTTTTGAAAGTACCTTTCTCCTTTATTATTTTTCTTTTGTTTAAACCAATCAGTGCTCTTTGTAAAGACGTCATACAACATAGACATGTCTGAAGGAAGAGCCCTCTCCCACACCCACTCCCATCCGTCTCGCTTCCCTGGGAACTCCTGCTCCATCTGGGAGACTGTGTCTTTCCTGATCTTTCTCCTGACGAACACCAACATGCTGTGTGCTCATAGGGTGCACACACACACACAGCTCACATTTGGTTTAATTTTTTTTCTTTTTTAACCACTGAGATATCCTGCATTTGTGCAAGATGTGGAAAACTTGGTATGTCTTGGAAGGTTTCTGATATCGGTGCCTGTAGCTCCATTTTTTCTTTTTAAATGTAACTGCTCACTTCTCTGTAGCCATTTATGTTTCTTCTAATTCCTTCTTCCCTCTCACAAAAGTTGCCATGGGGAATGTGCTCCTCCTTCTCTCTTGTGCCTCCGGTGGCCACCTTTTTCTTTTGAGGTCCCCTGAGAGAAGTCACAATGCTGCTGGCAAAAGACATAACCATGAATTCCACCCAGCCAGGAAACAAAGTAATCATGTTCTTATGGGCAGGATCTCAGAATATCACACACAGAGAAGTTCAGGTTTGACAATAAAATTTTATTTTTCACATCAGCATGTTTTAGGAAAAGGCTGAGGTAAGAGGTGGCTCCCTCCTGGTCATTTGTCCCCCACGTTAGAGCTGATATAGAATATAGGGATTAACACTCTGCTAGGTGACGAGTCCCATCATCACTGGGTGAAGGCAGCCCAGTTGACCTGGGAAGAGCTGCTGTAGCTGAGGAGAGAGTCTGTCCAGAAATGTTTGCTTTTTATAACTAATTTACAAAATGGAAAAATTAATTTTCAGGATTAATATGATGATCCTTTTAGGATTAGCGACTTTCCAAAAGAACAATTTCATTTTGCATGAATCAGTTTTTAAGAACCAAATATTAAATAATTCTGTTCCTAGAAGTTGCAGCTTGAGACAATTATGATTCCATCGTTCTACCACTCACGCCCACACAATAAAAGATCTAAATAGAAATATAAATTATAAGGAACAGGCACATGGAAACAGAACAGGACAGAGAATGAAGAATGAAGGAGAGGGAAATTGGCCATATTACCTGCTATGTCTGTCTTGGGGAAAAATGTATGGTATATCCATTTAACTTTATAAATACTTAGTTCATAGATAAGAAAGGAAACTTTCCTGATTTTGTTTCTATAGTCCAATATAATTCCCTGATTTTTAACGTCTCATCATTCAAACATCACTTTCTACATTCTTCCATGTTTAATTAATTGTCCCTAATTTTTTAAAAAGAATTTTAACTTATTTTACTTATCTATTTTTTTTAATGTGTGCTGAGGATTGAACCCAGTGCCTCATCCATGCTAGGCAAGTGCTCTACCACTGAGCTATAGCCCCAGCCCCCTGGTTAAAAAAAAAAAAAAAAATATATATATATATATATATATATATATATTTCTTTTTTATTTATTTATTTATTTTAAGAAGTTGACGGACCTTTATTTTTTTAAAATTTATTTGTATGTGGTGCTGAGAATCGAACCCAGTGCCTCACGCATGCTAGGCAAGCGTGCTACCACTGAACCACAGCCCCAGCCCCATGGTTAATTTTAATAGACCTTATTTTTGAGCAGTTTAAGCTTATTGAAAATTGAGCCCAGGGGCTGGGGATGTGGCTCAAGCGGTAGCGCGCTCGCCTGGTATGCGTGTGGCCCGGGTTCGATCCTCAGCACCACATACAAACAAAGATGTTATGTCCGCCGATAACTAAAAAATAAATATAAAAAGAAAAAAAAAGAAAAGAAAATTGAGCCCAGAGTTACAGAGTCCCCATCGGCTCCCTTGCACCTCCCTCTTCCCCAGGTGACCCTTTTATTAACATCCTGCAAGAGCAGTACATTTGTTGGCCTCCGTGGGCCAACATTGACAAATCATTGTTAACTAAAGTCCTTGGTTCACATTAGGGGGTCACTCTGTGCTGTATGCTGTATGGGCTTTGACAAGCACAGAATGATGTGTATCCACCATTTCAGGATCTTTCAGGAGAGATTCACTACCCTCGGGATCCTCATGCTCCACCTATTCCCTCTTCTTCCTCCTGCTGGGCCCTGGCTGCCGCTGGAGTTGTCACTGTCTCTGTCATTTTGCTTTTTCTAGAATGTATGGAGCCCTTTTAGATGAGCTTCTTTTACTTAGCAATATGCATGTAAGGGTTCTCCATGTCCTGCTGTGGCTCAGCAGGCCATTTCTTTTTATCATTGAATTGCATCCCATTGTACGGATACACCACAATCTGTATGGATACACAAAAGATTACTACAAAAACAAGCTGTCATTGAATTAAAAGCAGTAGACTTTAAACATAAAATTATAATAAAAAAGCTTTTCTATTCAATTAAAAGTAATAGATTTAGCTGGGTTCAATGGTACATATGTGTAATCCCAGCAATTTGGGAGGCTGAGGCAGGAGAATCCTACGTTCAAAGCCAGCTCTTCAGCAACTTTGCAAAGCCCTAAGCAATTTAGCAAGACCCTTTCTGAAAATGAAAAATAAAAAGGTCTGGGAATGTGGCTCAGTGTTTAAACACCCCTGGTTTCATACCTCATATCCGCCCCCCCAAAAATGTAATAGGTTTTAGTACTTATAATTTTTTATTTAATGAAATTTTTATTTTTGGATTTATTCCTAGAAATGTGGAACTTTTAATTCTTCTAAGAGAATTTTGTCTTTTTATCTTTTATCCTTCCAGGAAAAAATGGTATATAAGAACCAAATCTTAGGTTGAATACTTGCCTTTCTTGTTACTTATTGACTTTATTATCACCTGACTGTTCACCGTGCTTTCAGGAAGTAATGGAATTTCACCATGTTAACTGCTCACTGTGGGTTGGTGCCTAGTGAGGTCTGGGTCTTGGGGAATGGAAGAGTAGGGAATGGTTTCTATTTACTGTTAAAGGCTTTTTCTTTTCTTTCTTTCTTTTTTTTTTTTCTAACTGGGATTGAACCCAGAGGTGCTTAACCACTGAGGCACATCCCAGTCCTTTCTTGTATTTATTTAGAGATTGGTCTCAGTTGCTTAGGGCCTTGCTAAGTTGCTAAGGCATCCATCTATCCCACTGCCTTTCCATTTTCATTTGCAAAACCGAAACTCTGCACCCATTTAACCAAATCTCTCCTTCCTTTCCTCCCTCAGCCGCCGGCTCTTGCTGTTCTCCTTTCTCTCTCTGAATTTGGAACCATAGCAGTGCTTGTCCTCTCGTGACAGGCTTATTTCCCTTCATGTTTTCAAGGTTCATCCATGTAGCCTGGGTCAGAACTTTCTTCCTTTGAAAGACTGAATAATATTCCACTGTAGGGAAAGATGGCAGTCTGTTCATCCATTCATTCACCAGTGGACACTGGGGTTGCTTTTGCTCTTATGAATCGTGCTGCTATGGACATGAGTGTACAAATATCTTTTGAGTCTTTCCTTTCAACGGTTTTGGATTTATACTCAGAAATTTAATTGCTAGATCAAATTGTAATTTTTTCCCCAGCACTGGGGATTGTACCCTGGGCACTCTACCACTGAGCTACATCCCTAGTTGCTGCCCTTCCACCTCCCCCACTCCTACCCTGCTTTTTCTTTCTTATTTTGAGACAAGGTCCTGTTAATTACCCAGACCACCCTTGAACTTGTGATCCTGCTGCTTCAGCCTTCTGAGTAGCTGTGATGTCAGGCACGTGCCACCATTCTTGGTGTGATAATGCTATTTTTAATTTTTTTGATCTTTGATTTCATTTTTAATTATCTCAAATTTTATGATCACATAATTTGCAAATTTGTGCTGATGGGATATCTCTTCTACTTTAATCCTTCTAGTGAGTTGGCAAAAGCACCATTACCCAATCACACTTCCACAGTTTTCCCACAGTTTTTGTGTTTTTGAATAGCTGTTTAAGAACAATCTTGCATTATTACTTAGTCTGATACAGAAAGTATTCAAAAGTATAATCTAGTTTGCTATTGTATCATGCTGACTTTAAAACATCTGAACTTGCAAAAATGTGTTACATATTCTTTATTTGATATTTTACACATAAGTAAAAGACAGCATTTTATTTTATTTTGGGTACTGGGGATTGAACTCAGGGACACTTGACAACTGAGCCACATCCCCAGCCCTATTTTGTATTTTATTTAGAGACAAGGTCTCACTGAGTTACTTAGCACCTTGCTTTTGCTGAGGCTGGCTTTGAACTTGCAATCCTCCTTCCTCAGCCTCCCAAGCCACTGGCATTACAGGTATGTACCAATGCACCTGGCAAAGGCAGCATTTTAGATATGAGGAATTCTAATTAAATTGGATTGGTCAACAAAAATATAAAGTAGACCAGACTGCTTCCTTGTCCTCAGCCACGGTCCTTAACAGTCTGATGAACACAAATTGAAACGCGTGTGAGTCTTGTTGGGCTCAGAGACAGTGAAGGGATCTCCTCCAGGATTTAAACTTGTTCACAGAACCAGTCATGTAATCTAAGTATAAAACCAGCCTTCAGTAGGCTTTAAATGGCCTTCACTACCCTGTGAAAGGTTGGACATTACTAATGAATTCTAACCATATCTCTGGAAAGGAAAAATGGTGATCATACTTACTGAACTGGGATTATCATCAAAACTTTTTAAAAAATCATGTCCATTGAACTACAAATCAATTTTATTTGAACCAAGCCTGTCCAAAAAAATATTCTGCCAGGGCTGGGATTGTAGCTCAGTGGTGGAGTGCTTGCCTTGCATGTGTGAGGCACTGGGTTTGATCTTAAACACCACATAAATAAATTAAAAATAAAGCTATAGTGTTCATTTACAACTAAAAAAAAATCTGCCAGCCATTCCTGATCTGAATTCTGGTGTCTGTCATCAAGTAAATGATGGTGCATGCAAGAAAGCCATGAGGCATTCTGTTTTGTAATAAACAAGCCTGTGGCTATTACTCGTTAGTAGCTTTTCTGAGTTTTTCAGATAGTTTTTGTTCTGGGAGGTTCCTTTTTGAGATTCTCCAAATACTCTATCAGTGCTCCCTGTCCCCAGGTGACACCTGTATTCCTGTTGGGGAACCCAGGCCTGACATGCCTTCCACCCAAGCAGTCCAAGGCTCAGCCCAGTCTTGCACTGGCTGCTCTTCCCTTGGTGTGGCCCTGGGCACACTTCTGAACAAGAACCTTCTTGTCTTTCTCTACATCACCCATTTTTATCTTGCAGCAATTTCTCTGCCCTGTGCACCTCTTATCAGCTTATAAGACTTCTTCTTATAAGCTACTCTCCATTCTCTTCTGTTCTTAATTTTTTGGGGGGATGGGTACAAGGGATTGAGTCCAGGGATGCTTACCACTGAGCAACATCCCTAGCCCTTTTTATTTGTTTGAGACAGCATCTTCCTAAGTTGCTGAGGCTGGCTTTAAACTTGTGATCATCCTGCCTCAGCCTCCCGAGCTGCTGGGACTACAGGTGTGTACCACCTGCCCATCTAATGTAGGGTTTTTGTTGTTGTTGTTGTTTGTTTGTGTGTGTGTGTGTGTGTGTGAGGTTTCTTTCACTTAGTGTCCCCTCTTCAAAGATTCTTTCATATTGTAGCATGTAGAGCCTTTCTTTTTCTTTTTTCTTTTTGTTTGAGTCGGGTGGGTACCAGGGATTGAACTCAGAAGCACTTGACAACTGAGCCACATATTTAGCCCTATTTTTTTTGTGGGGACAGGTACCAGGGATTGAACTCGGGGGCACTAGGCCACTGAGCCACATCCTCAGCCCTATTTTGTATTTTATTTAAAGACAGGGTCTCACTGAGTTGCTTAGCGCCTCACCATTGCTGAGACTGGCTTTGAACTCATGATCCTCCTGCTTCAGCCTCCCAAGCTGTTGGGATTAAAGGTGTGGGCTACCCCACTGGGCTTTTTTTTTCTTTCTTTCTTGAGATGGTGTCTTGCTGTCATCCAGGCTGGCATCAAAATTCTGGACTCCCACGATTGTTCCTACCTCAGCCTTACGAGTTCTGAAACTGTTGTCCTGTACCATGTACCCGGCTCACTGCTGAGAATTTTCTTAAAGTGATTTTTCTCTGTGGCACTGGTGCTGTGGAATTCTTCTCTGGGTATTGGTGCAGGAGCGTGGCTCTGGGCTCTGCACACTAGCATCCTGCTGGTTTTGCTTTTGTCTTCTAGAACTTGACCTGGTCGTTTGGATGGAACAGTTCCCTCCCTGTCTTCTATGTCTGTGAGAAGAACCATAGAGTCCTTCTGTACGTGTCTTCTCACAATGCCGTCATCTATAATATCTTCAGGAATAGCCAGTACCACCTGCAGGTATGTGGGGCTTTTCCTGCTTGTAAAGGGCTCTAACTTGTGGGTAGTGTTTTGCTTTGGACTTTCAGGCTGACTTCACTGTATCATTGTCATACTTTCCTGCCTCTCCTTTGAACTACAGCAAATCCTGCTTTTTTTTTAAAGAGAGAGAGAGAGAGAGAGAGAGAGAGAGAGAGAGAGAGAAATTTTAATATTTATTTTTTAGTTCTCGGCGGACACAACATCTTTGTTTGTATGTGGTGCTGAGGATCGAACCCGGGCCGCACGCATGCCAGGCGAGCGCGCTACTGCTTGAGCCACATCCTCAGCCCAAATCCTGCTTTTAGAAACATGTTATTGTTCACTGTCTCTATGATTCTAATCAGCATCAGTTGACAAATAGCAGTGGATATTAATTTTATCCTTGCAAGAATTTAAAACATCTGTATTTTTTACATTTCTGCAAAAATGTGGACAATGTAGACCATGATGTCTCCAGAGAACCACAGTGAACACAAGGACATCTGTTCACCAGGGAGTCAGGCCTAATGAATACTTAGACTCCTTTCCAGTTTCCAATGAGCTTGGATCCTCATAACCAAGCTGAGATGTGGGTATTAACATACCCATTTCACAGAAAAAGAAACTGAGGCTCAGAATAGTTTAAGTGACTTGCACAAGACTGTGGGTGGTAAACAGTGACTGGAGTTCTCCTGACCTGAATATATTTAGGAGGTCAGTGGGCCTCCTGTCCCTCCCTCCCTACAGTAGCTCTCTTAGTTCAACCCTGCCTTCCTCCTGTACGTCCTCCATGCTGTCTTCCTCCTACCACTCTGTTTCCTTCATTCTTAACATTTTACCCCTCTCATTGTCATCACTCATCTACCTAACTGTCCTGTTTCTTGGTGTCTGACATGCCCTGGTTGACCTGGTGAACAGTTCTGTGTTATATTTTCATTGACTTGCTTTGTTATAGGACCCTCCTTAGTCAATACCTAGTTCAAAACCTTCACAAAGTATTTACCAAGAACCCGGACAATGTTGAGCACTGAGCCAGGAGTCCAAGGCACACACACGCAGCTCCAGGAGTTTCCTTCCTGGAAGCACAGAAACACTGACATCAATCAGCAGGCAGCCGCCTTGGAGCTTGGTTGAGTGTGCAGCACAGAGGGCAGAAGCTCCAGCCGAAGGGAAGGGAGCTTGTAGACAGGCTCGGCTGAGCTAGGAGAGGGAAAGGAGGGTCATGCTCCACAGAGTCCAGCCTCACCAGAGTCAATGGCTGGGAATGGCCTTGACCATTCATCATATCACAAACGTGAATCATGACCACTGCGTTTCTGATTGTGGGTCTGCAGTCGTGAACAAAGCAGGTGTCGTCCCTGCCCTAGTGAGCATCCAGACTAGTGTGGAAAGACATCAGATAGGTGAACGCATGACGACATGGTCACACTGTAACAGAGCAAAAATACTCCAAGAAAAATCGGGGTGAGAGAGAATTACTTTAACTTTTTAAAAAATTGAACCCAGGGATGCTTACCACTGAGTTCCATCCCCAGCCCTCTTTATTTAATTTAATTAATTAATTAATTAATTTACTAATTTATCTTTGGTACTGGGGATTGAACATAGGGGCATTTTACCAGTCCTTTTTTAATTAAAAATTTTAAATGTTTTATTGTTATTATTATTATTATTATTATTATTATTATCATTATTATTATTATTATTATTTAACTATTTTAAAACTAGTTAATAGACCTTTATTTTATTCATTTATTTATATGTGGTGCTGAAAACCGAACCCAGTGTCTCACATGTGCTAGGCAAATGCTCTACCACTGAGCCATAACCCCAGCCCCTGTTTTATTATTTTTAACATTAATGTTTTGGTATTGGAGATTGGACCCAGGGGCTCTTTACCACTTTACCAGTCATTTTACTCTTTACCAGTCCCATCCCCAGTCCTTTTTTTTTTAAATATTTTTTTATTTGTTGATGGACCTTTATTTTATTAATTTATTTATATACTGTGCTGAGAATTGAACCCAGTGCCTCACACATGCTAGGCAAGTGCTCTACCACTGAGCCACAACTCCAGCCCCGCAGTTCTTTTTATTTTTTGTTTTGAGACAGGGTCTCACTCAATCTGAGGGCCTTGCTAAATTGCTGAGGCTACCTCCTGCCTCAGCCTTCGGAGCCCTGGGATTATGGGCGTGGCCACTGCAGCCTGCACTTAGAAAGTCTGTTTCTGCTGAGACCTGAGGGATGAGAATGAGCCAACAGGGACAGTTTAAGGGAAAGAACTTTCCAAATTGAGGGAGCTCCACGTGCTCGTGTGTGAGGCTCAGAGAGAAGGCCAGGTGGCTGGTGCAGAGCCAGGAGGGAGTGAGGGAGCCGAAGGACACAGGGCTCCCTGTGCTGCGCTTTCAGACATTCACATGCTTCCGCAGGATGCCTCTGTTGTGCGGGGCCACCCTAGGACCATAAGAGAGACCAGGAGGATTGTCTCTCTCCAGAGGGGAACTGTGTCCCAGTTGGTGGGCTGCGGGGAGCCCCATGAGTGAGTGGGAGATCCCAGGCATCATCTTTTTCTCAACCTGGGTTGGGGGGTTGGGTAATGCCCCCACCCCCAGGGAGCCACCGTTCCTGTGGGGAGTGTGGCTTATTCTTCAGGTGTTTGAGGAGAGGAATTCTGAAAAAAACCCACCACGAGATGGAGGAAATCATGGGCAGGCCCACGGGAAAAGTTCCTACCCAGAGGAGCCTTGAAGGGAGCTCAGATCTCTCTGCGGGTCCCCAGTCTTCTCTGAGGTGCGTGAGGCTGGGCCCATCCTGGGTGCTTCAGAGCAGTTTCTCCTTATTTCCACAGGGCCACCCCAACCTCATCTCCTGCCTCTGCATCAGTGAAGACAGGCGGTGGGTTGCCACAGCGGACAAAGGGCCAGACTGCCTGATAATTATATGGGACACCTTCACAGGGTAGGCTTGTTCGGTCCCTCCTCCCCCTCCTCTTCCTCCTCCTCCTCCTCTTCGTCTTCCTCCTCCTCCTCTTCATCCTCCTTCTCCTCTACTCTTCCTCCTTTCCTCCTCCTCCTCTTCCTCCTCTCCTCCTCCTCCTCATTTAATTCCTAAGTGGTTTTGTTCAAAAGAAACATTTAAGTCAACTTTTTCATTGCTGTAACAAAAAGACCTAACAAGAATAATTAGAGGAAGAAAAGTTTATTTGGGGGCTCATGGTTTAGAGGCCTTAGTCCATGGATAGCCAGCTTCATACCTTGGGGCTCCAGGAGGGCAGAACCTCATGGTGGAAGGGTGTGGTAGAGGAAAGCAGGTCAGGACATGGCCACCAAGAAGCAGAGAGAGCGTGTAGTCGCTTCTTTTCCCCCTGATTTCTGTACAGTGTCTGCCATCCAGTAAGCAAAGAACGAGTAACACTGAGGCCCAGAAACTTGGTTAGTTGGTGGCCCCAAGTAGCCTGGGCTGGGAGGGGCTGACTCACAGTATCCCAGCACACATAAGCTCAAAGGATAAACCAGAAGTCAAATCGGCCACTTGCAATAAAAACCATTGCTTTCATAAAGACAGATTTTCTAGTCCCGGGTCAGCCTACCTTTTCTGGGGAAAAAAAATATTTTTCAGTGCTGGGCAAGGAACCCAGGGCCTCATACTAGCTAGGCAAGGCTGTACCACTGAACTCTACCCAGCCTCCCTGGGAAGTCCTAAGTGGTCATCCCCAAGTGCTCCCTTGCCCCAGCATGCCATATGTGTTCCATGCTGCCTGGCCTCCCGGCTGCGGCACATTTCCTGGTGGGTGTGCTTTATTATGTTCCATGTGTTTGCCTGCCACAGAGGCTCTCCCATGCGCTGTTCCTTGGCAGCCCCTCCGCTTCTGACAGCTCACCCTGCTCACAACCTTCAGTTGACCTTTCCCTCCTTTAAAATTAGTAGGCTTTCACTTTTTTAGAGCAGTTTTAGATTAATAGGAAAATCGAGAGGATAGTAGAGAAGGTTCCCTGTATCCGTTATTTACATCTTACACTAGCGTAGTACATTGTTGAATTAAGGAACATTGTCATTATTTGCATAGGAGTATACCTAGATTTCCTTCCTTTCATCCTAATGTCCCTATTCTGTTCTGGGATCCCATCCAGGTGACCACCTTAGATTGACTTGTCATGTCCCCTAGGCTCCTCTGGGCTGTGGCGTCCCCAGCCTTCCCTGGTTTGGGGATGACCTTCGCAGTTTTAGGGACCAGGGCTTCTAGGGAGCCCTCCATGGGAATGGGTCTGGCATTCTTCTCATGGTAGGACCCAGAGCCCTTGACTCACTGCAACATCTGAGACGTGAACCACAGTAGGCGTTGTCTCCTGGGTAGATGGCGAGTCCTTTCAGTCCAGTGTCGCAGAAACCAGCCCAGGGCCTAGAGAGGAGGTCAGCAAGTCCAGGCTCAGACATGGGAGCCTGGGCCCAGGCGGTGGGATTCTGCACCCTCCAGGTCTGCTTGGCAGCTCATGCCCCTCTTGCTGGTGACGCTGGAAGGGAGTCTGCAGGAATCAAGGTGGCCACCCTTCAGTGCCCTTCTTCCTAATCATGAAGCTCAGCATTTGTGCCCCCCTCAGCATCAGCTGAGGAATTGAGGGACTTCTAGGGGCCAGCGCAGCACTGCTCAATGCGTGACATACAGGCTGAGCTGGCCCGTGCTGAACAGGAAGCAGAGAAAGTGAGAGGAAGCTTCTGGGAACTCAGTGGCCATCTGACCTTGCCACAGTGTTTTTACTTTATGAAAGCATTTGTCTGCAGTAGAGTGACAAATTTAGAAAGAGTCCTTCACCTCAGGTAGTTTGGGAAATGCTAGGCAAGAAGCTGCGTGGGCAGCTGGGTGTGGGCAGGCTGCTGTATTGCTTGGGGCAACAGCTGCCAAGCAGGAGGCTGGCTTAGCTGGGAATGGGACTGGGAATTTGGAAACGCGAGTGCAGCTCGGTTTAATCACTGGGAATACAGTAGATGTCCACCAAAGTGGAGGGAAAGAGCCCTGGAGTTCCAGAAAGCAAAACTGCAGCGTGTGGTGACGCCTACATGCTGACTTGGTGGATTCCTGAGTGACATGGTAGCCACGTGGCCAGGAGGAAGAGCGCGCAGGCTCTGGGGCCACCTGGCTTCCATCCCAGTCCTGCTGTGTGCTTCCTGTGAGGATTGGAGGCCTAAAGAAACCAAGTGACTTTCCCATTTGTGGAAAAAATGAGGCTAATACCTACTGTTTGACTTCTTGAGGCTGCTGTAACAAATTACCACAAGTTGGGTGGCTTAAAATAGCAAAAGTTTACTCTCTCATAGTTCTGAAAGCCAAAAGCCCAAAATCAAGGTGTCAGCAGGTTGGTTCCTGCTGTGGTCCCTCCCCTGGCTTCCACAGCTTGTGGCACCCCTCGGCGTTCCTTGGCTGTGGACGCAGCCCCCCAGCCTTTGCCTCCATCTTCGCAGGTGTTTCCCACCCCCCACCCCGTGTCTCTCAGTCTTCATTCTTCCCTGGGTGTTGGGCCGTCCTCATCCAGTATGATTTCATCTTGACTAATTCCATCTGCAAGACCCTGTTTCCAATGAGTCACATCCTGAGGTTCTGGGTGGACAGGAATTTGGGGGCACACTGTTCGGCTGACTCTCACAGGATTGTTGTGAAAATCAGGTGAATCCACACCTGGCCCAAGATAGATGCTCATAGCGGGGTTTTCTTTTGTAATCCCTGTCCTAGAGGCAGAGAGCAGCTCTAGATTCTCCAACAGGAGCTTAAGGCCCTGGTTGGGTGTGTGGGGAAGGGAGAGGCAAGTCCAGGGGAATGAGAAGGTTAGGCAGAAGTCCTGTTAATATCCTGGAGCGAGGGTCTGGAGCGAGGGTCGGGTCCCCCAGCTTCCTGGAGATCTCCACAGGCCACGCCACCCAGTCTCCACCCTTACCTTACTTGGGTCTCAGTGGCATCTGACACTGCATTTCCTGTGGCTTCTCTGACACCACAGCCCCCTAGTTCCCTTCTGCTATGGCCCTTCCTTCTAGTCTCTTCTCAGGATCCCCTTCCCGGCCATCCCTTGAACACCACCCATGGTGACAAGGCCACCAGCACCATTGTTCCCCAGATAGGAGAGTCTAATCTCAACAAGGGCTCTCTCAGCATCCCCTCTTCTTCCTGATGAGGAAGTGCTAGAGGACTCTCCACCTGGATGTCCCTGGGCCTCTCCTGCTGAAAGAGGAGTTTTGGGAGGGATCTCCCAAACTGCCTCGGTGACCTCCCCACTGCCTGGCCTCTCCTGTCTCCTCTTCTCTCCCCTCTCCCCTCCGCTCTCTCACCTGGGCTATTGCAACAAGCTCCTGGCTGATCTCCCTCCCAGCGGTTTACTGTGTGACTCATTCTCCATGACACAGATCTTATTTCATTGTGATAAAATATACACAACTTAAGGGATTGTGGCTGGGTGGTAGAGTGCTTGAGAGGGCCTGGGTTTGATCCTCAGCACCACATAAAAATAAATAAATAAAATAAAGATATTTGTGTCTAACTACAACTAAAAGAAATAAAAATAAAATATATGTATATACGCAACTTAAAATTTACCACTTTAACCATTTAAAAATGTGTAATTCAATGGTATCAATTATAGCCACCATGTGCAACCATCACCGCTTTTTCCACAAACTGAGTGGCATTTTTATCACTCAAATAGAAACTCTGGACTCATGAACTCCGCATGCTGTCTTGCCCAGGCCCTGCCTTCTGCCTCTGTACATGTGTCTACTTTGGACATTCATAAAATCACTCAATATATGGCCTTTTGTGTCTGGCTTCTTTTACCGAGCATGTTTCAAGATTCATCTGTGTCATAGCATGTGTCAATGCCTCATTCCTTTTGATGACTGAATCAACATTCCATTATATGGATAAATCACATATTTATTTATTTGTTTATATATTATTTTTGCAGTATTGGGTGTTGAATCTAGGGATGCTCTACCATTGAACTATATCCCTATCCCTTTTTTTTTGTATTTTTTATTTTGAGACAGGGTCTTGCTTAGTTGCTGAGGCTGACCTTGAACTTATGATCCTCCTGCCTTAGCCTCCCCAGTAACTGGGATTAGAGGTATGCACCACTGTACCTGGCTTATCTGTTGATTTTGATGAAAACACAATTATTTTAATCCACTTCAACTGAAAGCTAAAGTCTTGGCTAGCTTTCATCTCCAGTCCTAGTGCTCTCTCCAACCTGGCCACAAGGGAAAGTCACCACCTCATGCAGCAGGATGTCCACAGAACCTGTCTCAGAGGCCTGTCAGCTGTGCCTCTTCCCCTGGACAGAGCTCGGCCTGTTATGAGCAGTTCTGGCCTGTTGATCTTTTATTCATTATGAAGCTGTTCCCCTGCTAGATGCAGCATCTTGAAGGGAGTGACATTTTTTTTTCCCTAAATCGAAAATAAAGCATATCTGTGATTAACAATTCAAATGTCACGTGGATACAAGTTTTGTGATCTCCCAAATGGTGACTTTGGGACCCAGAAAAGATTACTCAGAGAATGTTTTGGCTTTAGAATTAATATCCTCTGTATTGAAGTGACAGATTACAAACAAAATGCTTCCTTAAATATTTTGTTCACTTTCTCATTTATAAATCTAGCATATTTTTGTGATCACTTTTGAGAAAGCTTGGATTAATGTTTGGCTTCACAAATTTGACTATTAGCTCTTTTTAAGCATTTTAAACTGCATTTATAAATTTAATATATTCAGTTTTACATGTTTTTAGTAGTCTAACAAATTCTTCACTGGTACTTAAGTAATTCTTGGAAATCTAATAAATTTAGTCACAAATATGGCAAATCTTAAGTTGTCTTAAGTGTTATAACATTGTACAACTTAATAGGATTTCAATTTAAAATCATAAGTCTAAATCCACTATGTGTTTTAAATTAGAATCAAATCTAATCTGGTAGAAACTTTGATATGTGAAATTCTCTTAAACATTATGCATTCCTTAAAAAAGAAGAACAAATTTTCTTATCATAAATATGTTACTTCTGTGGATTTGACTGACTTCTCCATGTTTAATTCTAAATGTCTTCAGAGATGAGATACATGTTCCCACTGAGAACTCCACTCTGTCACTCCCAAGAATCTGAGGGTTGCCTTTCAAGTGAATTGTGAAATGACAGAACCTGAGTAGGCCTCAGCTGAGACACGGACTTGATTAAGACAGTTGGGGTGCCAACGTGACAAACTTAGGCCCATTTAAATTCACTGGGAACAGGACACCATAGTGGAACAAAGTGGGGCGCAGCCTGCCTGGCTCCCATCCTTTTTTTAAAAATATTTTTTTAGTTGTTGATGGACCTTTATTTTATTTATTTGTATGCAGTGCTGAGGATTGAACCCAGTGCCTCACACATGCTAAGGCAAGTGCTCTACCACTGAGATACAGCCCCAGCCTCTGGCTTCCATCTTACTGCCACCCACTCTCCCCTCACAAGAGAAGCACGTGGACCCCCAACCCCATGTTACAGCCCACCTGCTCCAGTGCTGCTGGGGTTTCTTGCTTTCTTTGTCTGTCTCAGGTATGTCAAGGTCATCTGCTTAAATTCTGCACACGTCAAGCTCCACCTGAGCTGTACAGTTGTAAGTCCTTACCAGGGACACATACAGAAGCGTGCAGGTAGAAAAGGAAAGTCCCTTCTCTGCCAGACCATCTCCAGACTGCAACCACCGTGGACAGTCTGCAGTCACTCCTACAGGCCTTTCTCGTACATATAAATGCCCTCACACCCTGAGGTTCTGGGTGGACAGGAATTTGGGGGCACAATGTCCGTCTGAATCTCACAGGATTGTTGTGAAAATCAGGTGAATCCACACTGTGTGCCACAGTCAAAATGACACTATGGATTTGTTTCGTGATATGCTCTTCTCACAAAGTTCTCGGTCACTCTCTCAGATCTATCCCATTCTTTTTGTGGCAGCCAAGTTTTTCCACTCGATGGCTTTGCCATAATAGTTTAAAATAATTCTTATTTTAACAGGTTTGTTTTGCTTTTTTTAATTTTGCTGTTAACACAGCATCACCAAGAAGATGCATCTTGGTTTATTTTGTTTAATTTTCCTATTATTTCTCTAGAAAAGTTACAGGAGTTGCAATTGCTGGACCTTAGAGTACAGATAGGGTTTAAAATTCAGATAGTCAGAGCTACATTGCTCCCAGGAAGGTGGTGCTTATTTGTTCTCTGTGTGCAGGGGGCACCCATTTTCCTGAGCTGGGCACCTCCTAGTTGTGGTTTTTATATTTGCATCCTTCATGCCTGGTGAAGCGCCTCATGCTGAATTGGCACCTGGGAACAGGTGACAGGGCCACTAGAGCTCGTGCAGGGTGAGCTCTAACACACAGCATTCGTGTCCTCTTCCCTGTTAGGCTGTTGGTTGTTACTGAGGCAAATTCACAAAACATAAGATTGGCCATTTGGATGTGTGCAGGTGGTTGGGCATTTAGTACATTCCCAATGTTGTGCACTCATCCTTCTGTCTAGTTCCAAAATATTCTCATCCCCTCAGAAGGAGACCTTGTACCCAGTAGGAGCAGAAGCCTCCCATCTGCTCTCCAGCCTCTGGCAACCACATCTGCTCTCTGTCTCTGGATTTGCCTGCTCTGGACATTTCATATCAATGGAACCACAGAATGCATGGCCTTTGTGTTTGTCTTCTTTCACTAGCATGTATTTTTGTGGGGCAGGAGAGGGATACTGGGGATTGAACTCGGGGGTTCTTGACCACTGAGCCCCAGCCCCAGCCTATTTTGTATTTTATCTAAAGACAGGGTCTCACTGAGTTGCTCAATGCCTCACTTTTGTGGAGGCTGGCTTTGAGATCCTCCTGCCTCAGCCTCCCAAACTGCTGGGATCACAGGCGTGCACCACCGCACCCAGATAGCATCATGCTTTTAAGTTTTGTCTGCGTTGTAGCCTGTGTCAGGGCTTCACTCCATTTTATGTAATAGTGAGTAATAATGAATAAATTAACTAGACACAGATATTCTTATGTTGTTATTAGTGATTAATAATGAGTCAATTAAACATAAATATCCTATTGTGTAGATAGACCACATTTTGCTGTGGTTTTGGAAGGTTTGAGCTGAGCTGGACGCTGTTCCTCCCTGTCCTGTTTTGCAGGATTCCTGTGCACACCATATTTGACAGCTGCCCAGAAGGTAATGGCATTAGGGCAATAGCCATTACCCGTGACGCCAAGTATCTGGCAACCATCTCAGATGCTGAAGTCCAGGTAAAGGGCCCTCTGGGTTGGCCTCAGCAAGCTGGTCAACCTGTCAGGTGTCCCCACAGTCAGCTCTGCTCCAGCCAGCTGGCCTCTGAAGTATTCCCAGGAGATGACCAGACTCCATGGTGCAGAGTTGGTGCTTCCTGCTTTGTGGCTTGGCTTGTGGTCCATTGCTTAGTTGCCTGATGTTACCATGTCACCACAAGGGACATAGCTCTCTGCAGCAGCCCTCAGAGGCCTTCTCACTGTGCTCTCCTTTGTAGAAAGTGTGCATCTGGAAGTGGACTTTGGCAGTGGAGACGCCGGCGTGCAGTCTCCTTCTCCCCAAGGAGTATGGTTTCCAGGTAGGTCAGTCTGGTCCTATAACCCTCAGCCTGACCTCACACTGAAGCCAGGTCAGAGCCTACCTTTTGCTTTGGTGGAATTCTGCTGTGGTGCAGCAGCACTTTTAAAAGTACTTTCATATCCCAGGCCTTGTTTATCTTTGCTTAGAAAAGCTAATATAGTTCAAGCACTTATTATGTGCCAGATTTGGCTAAATTCTTTACTTTCGTGATCTCACATAATCCAGGCAAACATGCTAGCAAGGAGATATTAATGTCTGTGGACTATTAGTAATTATTCAATAATCGGTCTGAAGTCACCCAGCTAGCAGACTTTCCTCTTCTAGACACGTGCTCTTAACTGCTTCTAACCTTATCAGAAGCTCATTGAAGTATGGAGAGAAATTATCATTATTCTTCTCAGTTTACATGAGGTGACTTGCCAAGGTCACCTACAGCATTTCTGCACAGTCTCTTGCTTTCCTGTGTCACTCCTGTCTGCCATGTTGTCACAATGTCCCTTGAATCCTTCATTCGTTATACATCTGTTGAGGATGTGCCCTGTGCCGGGCACCTATCCGGCTCACAGGGTCTAAAACCCCCAAAAAGGGTTTGGGTCACTAGACTCAGCAAGATACATGTCTTTATGTAGTCCTTATGCTCTGATTCCCTCCTTTCCCTTCTGAAAAAAAAATGTCCTTATTTCTTTTTTTTCAGTTTTTCTTTTTTAGAGGTGAGGGAGAGAGGGAGAGAGAGAGAGAGAGAGAGAGAATTTTTTAATTTTTATTTTTTAGTTCTCGGCGGACACAACATCTTTGTTTGTATGTGGTGCTGAGGATCGAACCCGGGCCGCAAGCACGCCAGGCGAGCACGCTACCGCTTGAGCCACATCCCCAGCCCCTGTCCTTATTTCTTAAAGTGGCACTAATACATAGTCAGGTGTGTGTGGTGACTTGGCATGGGTTTTCCTATTGCTGCGGAAAGTGCCTTCAGGGCTCTGTAGAGACTGCACTGGTCTGTGGGTCACTCTGGGTGCTGGTGTCTTCTTAATAATATTATTTTCCAGTCCTTGAGCACCAGATGTCTTGTATTTATTTATATCTTCTTTAATTTTTTTCAGCAGTGTTTTAGTTTCCTTTGTACAAATCTTCCACATCCTGGATTAAATTTATCCCTGTGTATTTGATTCTTATTTATGCTCTTATAATTGTAATTGTTTTCTTAACTCCCTTTTCAGATCATTCGTTGCTAGTGTACAGAAATGCAGGAGAATTTTGCATCCTGTGACTTTGCTGAATGCACTATTTAAATTTACATTGATTATGATTAAATAGAACTTCAGATGGGTTCCTCAGTATTGCTAGCTGCCCTGGAAGCGCTCACATGTGGCTGTTAGGTACTATATTTGGCATCACAGATCACACGGAGCATTTCTATCATTGCAGACAGTTCTGTTGGGCATCTCATACCCCCTCCCCTAGTGAACTCTGCCTTCTTGGTACCCTAGCTGAGCAGGGGATGTGGCCGGAGAAAGCCACCCAGAGAGTTAATTCAGGTGACATTGAGTTCAGCCATTAAGAGCAAAAGAACTCTCTGCTGTTCTGGCTGTTCTGGTGGCTGGCTAGCCTGCTTCCCACCTCACCGTGCACACACACACACACACACATATTGTTGTTGTTAAATAAAGCACAAATGCAAAATATGTATATTTTAAAGAAGAAAACAAAATGTACCTGTGTACTTACCACTGATCAAGATATGGAACATGAACCAACCCTAGAAGCCCACTGTGTGTGTGTGTGTGTGTGTGTATGTGTGTGTTTGGATGTTTGGTTTGGTACTGGAGATTGAACCCAGGGGTGATCTTCCACTGAGTTACACCTTCTACACCTTCAGCCCTTTTTATTTTTTGTTTGATTCAGCGTCTCACTAAATTGCCCAGGATGTCCTCAAACTTTTGATCCTTCTGTCAAGGTCTCCCGAGGAGCTGGCATGACAAGCATGTGCCATCGCGTCTCTCTTTGATCCCTGTCCCCAATCTCATTTGCTTTCTTTTCTCCCTGCAGTGAACCACTATCCCAAGTTTTGTGTTAAACATTCCCTGTTTTCTTTATACTTTTCTCTATTTATGTATCCCTCAATTCCATCTTATTTAGTTTGACCTGCTTTTGACCTTGATATATTTGAAGTATATTTTATTGCTTCATCTGCTCAGCATTGCTTCTGGGACTCATCCTTGTTGGTTGCCGAGCTGTGATTCTTTCATCCTCACTGTTGCTCTGAGTGTAACACAACTTACGCTGGTGATGGGCGTTGGGCTCCTTTCATTCCTCTTCCACTCTTCCCACCCCGTGGCTCCATCCAAACCATGCTTGTTGTGGTCTCCGGCATGCCAGTGGGATGACCATGTTAGATCTCTTTACTCTTCGTCTGTGAGCAGCTCCATCCATGGCTTACAAGACACTTTTTGTGCTATTGCAGAGACCAGTCTTTCTCTGGCTCCTTTGTGGATTTTTTTCTTTCATTTGCATACATTATAAATATTGGTGTTCCTCAGATTTAGTTCTAAGCCATCCTCTTTCTCCTCCTCCTCCTGCACCTTCTTCATCTCTTTTAATTCGACTTCCTCTTTCTCTATTCTCTTTCCTCCTCCCCCCTTCTCCTCCTCCTCCTCCCCCTCCTCCCCCCTCTCCTCCTTCTGTTCTCTGTAGCTTTCTTGAGTGTTCTCATCCATTCTAAAGATGCCCTGAAGTTGTTCCTCTTTCCTGCATCTCTCCTGCCATCCTGTCCAGGCCGTAGTCACCTCTACCTCGTGACTACAGCTCCTTACCCTGGGGCTCTGAGCTCACTCTGGCCTCACCCCTGAACACTCTATCCCTGCAGGCACATGATGTTCTTTAAATGAGTAAAATATATATGTCTCTCTTACTTAAACCCTTGTATGATTTCTCATTACCCTTAAAATAAAAACAAAACACCATATTATGGCCTCCAAGGTCTGATCTGATCCATTAATCAATCTTCCAACACCGAATTCTATATAAGTGAACTTGTTTTTTTTGCTGTGGGCTTTGGCTTCTTTAAAAAACTCAATCATTTTGTTCCATGCATCAATAGTTTATTCCTCTTTATTGCTGAATAGTGGCACATGGTTGTGTTACAATTTGTTTATTCACTGTTGGTGGACATGAGTTGAGGCTATTAAAAATTAAGTTGCTATGAATGTTCATGTACAAGCCTTTGCATAAATATATGCTTTCATTTTCATGGTAGTTTTCTTTTTCTGCTTTCCTTCCCCTTTCTTTGTTTCTTGGAACTCTACCACTGAGCTATATCTCCAGCCCTTTTGTATTTCTTTGAGACAGTCTAAGTTGCTTAGGGCCTCACTAAATTGCTGAGACTGTCCTTGAATCTCGATCCTCCTGCCTTAGCCTCCCAAGCCACTGGGATTACAGGTGCATGCCACCATACCCGACAATTGTTTTTATTTTTGAAGGATATTTTCTCAGGTAAAGAATTCTATTTTCTTTCAGCACTTTGAAGATAAGATTCCATTGTCTTCTGACTTCTTCCATTTCTCTTGAGAAATCAGCCATCAATCTGTATTTCTTTAAAATTTTTTTTTAGTTGTTGATGGACCTTTTAATTAATTAATTATATGTGGTGCTGAGAATCAAACCCACTGCCTTATGCTAGGCAAGTGCTCGAGCACTTGATTCCCAGCCCCAATCTGTATTTTCAAAGTTATCTGGATACTTAGAAATTTCTCTTATTTTTCAGTGATGTATCTGTTTGTATATGGGTATGTTGTTGATTTTTTAAAGCTTACTTTTGGGGGGTTTCTTGGACCTGGGATGCTTATATCTTTCCTCAGTTTTGGAAAATTCTTAGCCATTGTTTCTTTAAATATTCCTTCTGCTATATTCTTCTCCTTCTGGGACTCTAATTACAAATGCGTTGGGCCTTTTTTATTGTGTCCAGTTGGTCTTTTGTTCTCTTTTTTCTTTTTATATCCTTTTGTCTCTTTATGATCTAGTCTGGATATTTTCTGCTATAATTTATCTTTCTTTTCTACTGGCTAATCATCTCTTTGGCTATATCTAATTTCCTTTTAAAACATCTTTTTGAGTTTTTTAATCTCCTTTTTTTTCGGATTTAAAATTTCCATTTGCTTCTTTTTTTAAAAAATAGCAGTATCTGCTGAGATCTTCTTATCCTAGCTTTCTTGAGCCTATTAATCACAGTTTTCAGGCTGCGTCTGTTAATCTCACACCTGGACTCCTGTCGGCCTCTTGCTTCACCCCCTTGGTTTTCAGTCATTTGCATCTGCCCCTTTCATATGTCTGGTTATGTTTCATTGAATTCTCAGTGTTCTATTTTAAAAAGTATAGAAATAATTTGAAGCTTGGGATGATGACTTCCTTCAAAGAAAACTTGTTTTCCCTTAGAACTGGGGATTGAACCCAGGGGCCTCACATATGCTAGGCAAGCGTTGTACCACTAAGCCCTCTCTCCAGTCCTTTTTATTTTTATTTTGAGATGGGGTCTTGCTAAGTCGCCCAGGCTGGCCTTGAACTTGTTTGTGATCCTTCTACCTCGGCCTCCCAAGTTGCTGGGGTTACAGATGTAGCCACCATGCCCACAAAGACTCGGCAAAGTAGTCAGTCTTGGAAGGTTCTGGTCCGTGCACTTGCTTTTATCAGGTCCTCCCTCCCCCAGGCCTCTGGCCTGGATGATTTAAGCAGTAGGCAAAGGAATGGGTTTGGAGCTGGGGTGAAAGCGACTAGCCTGGAACATAAACAGCTTTCCCCTGTCTCATCGCTGCCCCCTGTAGCCCGCTATCTCTAGCTGTAGCTGCCCACCTCCGGTGCACATTTCCAGATACAGGCCTTCTGGCTCCCCGGGGGAATTTCTCGCTCTGTTGTTGTTGTTGTCGCTGTTTTGTTTCTGCATTTAATGTTTCCCTTACTTCTGTAGTTTCTGCAGAAGTGATTTTGGGGAAGGAAGCCAGCAACTCAAACCATGCACTATCTTGGCAGGAATCAAACTCTTCTTCCAACATCTTGCTTTCGTTCCAAGATCTCTTGTGGCCCTGTCAATTTTAGAAATGTGAATGCAGAAGTCCTTGTCCACAAGGACACAGAATAGAGGTCATTGGAGAGGGGCTGGGGATATATAGCTCAGTGGTAGAATGTGTGCTCAGCATGCATGAGGCCCTGTCCCTAGGACCAAAAAAAAAGGTATTTTGAATGTTGGCTTACTTTCTTTCACTTATTCTAGTTTATAGAATTGTAATAAGTAAGACTTGAAAATGAACACACTTTCTACTGTATTCCTTAACAACCAGCATTTAAATGGTATTCTCATTGCCCACCACATGCCATGTCTTCTGTTTTATATTCCTTCTTCATTATGTATTTTAATTAAAATTATTATTTAGTTGGACACGGTGGCACACACCTGTAATCCCAGTGGCTCGGGAGGCTGAGGCAGGAGGATCTTGAATTCAAAGCTAGTCTCAGCAATTTAGTGAGGCACTAAGCAACTCAGTGAGACCCTGTCTCTAAATAAAATACAAAAAGGATTGGGGATGTGATTGGGGATTAGTGGCTCAGTGGTTAAGTGCCCCTGAGTTAAATCCCTGGTACCAAAATTATACATATTATTAACATATATATTATTTCACATTAATATGTATTTTTAACATTCAATTTAATCAGAGAGAAACAAAATATATCATGTAATATATTTTCATACTTCATATTTCAGAACTACCTTACTTTTAATCCAACAAATAATAAAGAATTGGTGAGCAATAGTAAAACACAGGCAATATATTATTCATGGGTAAGTAGAAATATTTTGATTTCTTTAAATATGGGTCAAGTTTATTCTTTGGATACAGACATTTTAGTAATATAATAATACTGTATTTAGGGAGCAATGACTATATATCAAAATGTTGATTTAATTATAGTCTTTGTTTTAGTCCCATTGGAAATTAGCATATTAAGTCAGAAACATAATTAAATTTCTTTAAGTAATAAAGCAAATGTTTATTTGAATATAGTTACAGGTCTAAAAGTATATTTTGAGATCATGGACTTTATTTCCTTTCAGAAAGGAATTAGCAAACAGATCGGTAGTAGCATATATACCAACACAGGAAAAAAGAATGACATTAAAGAACAAAGTTAGGGCCTGGGGAGATAGCTCAGTTGATAGAGTGCTTGCCTAGCACGCACACACCCTGGGTTCAAACCCCAGCATCACTAAACAAACGGTGGGGCTGGGTGGGCTAGGGTTGTGGCTCAGTGGTAGAGCTCTTGCCTAGCAGGAGGTACTGGGTTTGATCCCCAGCACCACATTAAAAAAAACTAAAACTAAAACTAAATAAACAAAATAAAGGTTAAAAAAAAAAAAAAAAGATGGGGCTGGGGATGTGCCTCAGAGGCAGAGCCCTTGCCTACCTTGTTCAATTCCCAGCCCTACACAAAAAATTAAACGTAGAATTGCCATATGACTCAGCAATTCTAAGGTATATGCCTGAAAGAATTGAAAACAGGCATTCAGACAAATAGTGCTACACAAACAAATACTCATTGGAGCAGCATCTCCACCATAATCAAAAGGTCAAAACAAGCCATATGTCCATCGACTGTCAATCAGCTGATGAATAGGTAAACAATGAGACAGATTCATACAATGGAATATTATTGAATGAAGTACTAGCACTTGCTATGATGTGAATGAACATCAAAAACATTTTTTCTAAATGAAAGAAGCCGAATACAGAAAGTCACACATTGTCTGATTCCATTTATGTGAAATGCAGGAATCGGCAAATCCATAGACAGGGTGGTTATAAGGGGCTTGGTGGGAGAGTTGGTTACAGGGTCTTTTTGGGGTGATGAAAATGTGATAGTGGGAAAAAAGAGAAAATATGATAGCGGTAGTTGCACCGCATTTTAAATATAATAAATACCACTGAATTATACACTTTAAAATAGTTAGCAGTTAATTTCATGTTAAGTGCATTTTGCCTCAATTTAAAAAATGCAAAACAAAAGCACATTGACTTGTTAATTCTCAGTAATATTCATTGCTTCAGCTGTTTATTTTAGCTTTAAAGGCTTATTAATGCAGAATTAAAATTCTTATTAACTACCATTTAAAGTCTCAGTCACTCTGGCATTTTCTGTGTATTCGCTTTTCTTTGAGAATTTTTTAGAGGTTCCTTAAGATGGTAGGTTCTCTTAGCTGTAGAGATTGCAAATCTCTGACCCTGTTTAGATGTGTTTGTTTTGATTTTGCTATTATGTAGTTCCTATTTTGGAAATTGGGCCTTTTTTTTTTTTTTTTTTGGAGTGATTTTTTTATTCCTTTGCTTATCAGTGTGAAGAGAAAAATATACTTGCTCACAGTGCCCCACTCTTAACAGAAAAAGTGAGTATGCCTGTTGCATTTTTATATACCAGATTCCATGGAGAAGGATTGTGTATGTGCAAGCTCAGTTGTTTCGGATCATGTTTGAATGTCTTAATATTGAACCACTGAGAAATAATTGGAAAAGTTTTACTTGGGTCCTTTGCCCTTACCAAATTGTCAGTTGAAAATAACAGAAATATTGTTAAAAGTAAATGCCTTGGGCTGAGGATGTGGCTCAAGCGGTAACACGTTTGTGTGGCATGAGTGCGGCCTAGGTTCGATCCTCAGCACCACATACAAACAAAGATGTTGTGTCCGCCGAAAACTAAGAAAAATAAATAAATAAATATTAAAATTCTCTCTCTCTCTCTCAAAAAAAAAAAAAAAGTAAAATGCCATATAAGAAAATATCCAAAAAGCAATGGATTTTATAATGACATATATTTTTTTTTAATATTTATTTTTTAGTATTTGGCGGACACAACATCTTTGTCTGTATGTGGTGCTGAGGATTGAACCCGGGCCGCACGCATGCCAGGCAAGCGCACTACTGCTTGAGCCACATCCCCAGCCCCTATAATGACATATTGACAAAGAATGAGAATTAATTAGAAGTCATGCCAGTGGAGTAGCCGGACATGAGTAGATCTCTTAGGAAGCTGCTCAGTTTCAGATTAATTTTTTAAAGAGTGTGTTCAGCTATTTAAGAAGGTAGGGAACCAGATGTGGAGAAAGTGTTTCTTCTCACCTTCTTACTTCAAGCCCCCTGCACTGGAGCTGGAACTGGGCTTCTGTCTACTACAGCATTTCCTCCCTTTGATGCCCACGTAATCTGCCCTCAGGGAACACTTTATGGTGACTTTACTGCTCCTGTTCTTTCTTAGTATGATTTGTAAAAATTACTTTTAAAGAGGATATGCCAAAAGAAAAAAAATAAAGATGGAATGAATGGACATAAGGAAAGATGGTTCTGTGTGCAAACTTATTTTCCAGAAATGAGAGTATAAAAAGTAGTCAGCTCTCATTAATCAAGGTAGCTATGTTCTATAAAGTCCCTGCAAGTACTGAATTAGTGAATAGTGACCTATCACTCCCAGGGGAAATACAGTGGGTTCCTGTGAGCCCGTGGTCACATCTTTAACACTCAGCATCATTTTATGTATGTTTCTGCTTAAAGACACCATTAATATACAACACTGATTTATTAACAGGGGGCTCATGATGAATAGCACTAGAACTTTTCATGCCTGAATGAAGCTCATCTGACATGCATTTCCTCCACAGGGCACATCACAGCCTTCTTGTACTTAGGACTCTAGGTAGCACTTCAGCATTAAGTTTGAGGGCTGGTTTAAATACTGAAATCACCAACAAAAAACACCAAAAAATGTGTGCCACACAGCACTAAATGGAAAGAACATTTTTTTATAGTATGAGAACTGAAATAAGAAGGCAGAACCCTGGACTGGGGCTGTGGCTCAGTGGTACAGCACTTGCCTAGCATGTGTGAGGCACTGGGTTCAATTCTCAGCACCACATATAAATAAATAAATAAAGGTCCATCAACAAGGTGGTGGCAGAACCCTTCCTTGTTTGACTTTCAGCTGGGAAAGTACGTGTCATGTAAGTCAAGTTTTGTTTTGTTTTGCCATACTGTAAATACACATATATGCAAATGACTGTGAAAGTACTATATTGATTTAGGGTTACAAATAAATTCTAGCAAGTAGATGAAATTCACAAGTACAGAATCAGCAAATAATGAGCATGTACTGCAAATTGAAATGGTAAAAATGCCTTATGTTGAAACAGTGCTACTCTTAGAAAGAACTTGGTGCTCTTGTTTGGCCAATTTTTCTTTACTGATCCTCTTGGGTTGGGTCAGAGGACACAACCCCACAATCTTCTTGGCATACTTAGAGAACTAGGCAGCAGACTTGCTTTATCACATTGCTGAGTTTCATTTATTTCATGAACATTCACTAAAAAGGCTTTTATCATTGTTCTGTATTCTTTCTATACTTCAGCTCTAAGACACTGCCTAAGAAGAATGGCCTAGTGCCTTATTTTGTAGTACAGATTTAATAAGGAGTCTTATTTAGGGCATTTCTATATAAGTGTTTAAATAATTTTTACTGATGTGAAAATATCTCATGATCAAAGGAAACTGGGGTAATTATTTTATGATATGTTACAACCAGAGCATGCTTTTGCTCATGAAGGATGTCAATTTCTTTATCAGCCTCTGAAACCTCTGTAGAAGTTGGCCTGGTATAAACAGTGATTACCTACTCTTTTATTTGCTTTAAACAAGCAGTTTAATTGAACGCAGTACATAACCCATCATTTGCTCTTAGTAAACTTTAGGAGGTTCAGGACTGTCAGGACCATGGCAAGAGCCATGGGAGAAGGCCTTTAGTGATTCTTTATGTTTTTTTCCTCTTTCTTTTTTTTCTCACTTTATTTCAGCACAGTTTTATAAAAATGTTACATTTTTTGACAAATGCTTTGTTTTGTATCTATTACCAATAATAACTCATACTCTGTCTTTTGAAACACAGACATTCAACAAGCTTGTGGGAAAATTTAGCCAGTCCGTCTTTCACTTGAATTTAACACAAATACTCTCGGCGACGATGGAAGGGAAGCTGGTCGTCTGGGATGTACACCGTCCCCCGGAGTCTTCCTCCACCCTCTTTAGCTTTCCCTACATCAAGCCCTGTAAACTGGTACATCTGCAGAGGGAGGGCATCACCGTGCTCACCACAGTTGATAAGTAATTAATCTAGTTAAAAAGTAGCTATAGATGATTGTAAAAATGCTTTAGAACTCTTTCTGTGCACATGTTTAGTATATGCATAGAATATTTCTGGGGAGACTCATAATTAACTGAGAACATTGGTTGCCTCTGAGGAAAAGAAGTGAGAACAAGAACTAAGGGTTGGGGTGGAGTTACTTCTTTTTATAGTCCCATTTGTACTAATTGGATTTTTTTAAGATCACAGGCCTGTGTTATGTTTTTAAAAATCCCTTTGTGTTGGTGAAACAAAAAGTAACTGAAGTTTTTTCTTTGGTGCTAATTACACTTGTTTTGCACCCCAAATTTTGCATACTTTACATTTAAAAAAATAACTCAAAGAGCTGTCTTGTTTCCATCTGATTGAAAAATGACATTTATGCATTGTGTGAAGATCAAATGCATCAGAACTTTATAGAATTCACTAACTTCATTTTGAGGGACTGTGGAGGCTCACAGATGATCTAAAACCTTGCTTAGAACAGAGTTCACATTCTAGCTGCAACTCTTCCTGGCTGGATGACCTTGAGCAAGAAACTTAACCTTGCTAAACCTACATCTCTCCATCCACAGAGTGGGCACCACAGCACTGTCTCTCTGTGAGTTATTTTATGAGGCTTTCATGAGACAAGTGTGTAGAACTCTGCACACTGCTTAGCCTAGAGGTGCCCCTAGGTAAGTGATAGCCATCATTAGTGTGCTAGAGAAGTTCCCAGAAGTGTGGAGGAAATACCCAATGATGAGGACCTACCCATATGGTTGGAGTCACAGTACCATCTGCTTTTAAAAGACCCATTAGCTTTCCTTTGCCTTCCCTCTGATACAGGGGAATAGTGAGGTCCTGGTGTGGTTTCACAAAGAGAGGTGCAAATTGTCATCTTCACCCAGCAGTGCATAAAACATAGGAGATCTGTGATTGATGACGTAGTCAACTCAATTAGTTGGGGCTTAGGGCCCAAAGAAGACCATGCCTAGGTTCCCCTCTTTCCGTGTTAGAACCAGCCAGGACCTGGGAACCCTTGAAGGAAAACACTTGGCCAGTTTTGCTGTTTCTGTCCAGCAGAGGGCAGTGAAATAAGTTCTAGCTCATTACTCTGCCCACCTGCCTTGCTTGTTAACCAGAAACCTCATTTAATCACTGTGTATAATATATGAGAAAATTTACTCCCCTTCCCCATCACAATAATTGTGTCACAGTCTTTAAAAAAAAAAAAAAGCTCATTTGGGGTGGATCCAAGGACTGGAAATAAAAGCCATTTTGTCATGCGACACTGCCTTTGACTGTGATGACTGGACAGGGGTTTATGATCACTCTTACAACAGTGCCCTCCTTGGAAGCAGCTAGTATCCCATTGCCAGCCTGTGTGGTTTTTGGAGGGGTGGTTGATTGACTTGGTTGTCATCTATAATGGTATAGCAAATGTAAATCACTGTCCCTCTATGCATATGGTTGACGTTGGAGATCAGGAAAGAGTGCATGAACTTTACTTCAGATACACCTGGATTCTCTGTGTGGTCAGTCTAGCCAGACGGTTGCAGGGCATATGTAAGTCCCTTGGGATATTTGGGATATACTTACTCAGAAGATTATTCATCAGCATGTAGTGGTGTATAACTGTATCCCAGCTACTAAGGAGGCTAAGGTAGGAGGATTGCCTAAGCAGCTTAGTGAGCCCCTTCCTCAAAATTAAATTTAAAATGAGCTGGGGGTATAATTCAGTGGTAGAACACTTGCTTAGCATGTGCAAGACCCTGGGTTTGATCCCCAATACTGGGGGGAAAAAGTCTGGTACGATGGCACATGCCTGTAATCCCAGTGACTCCAGAGGCTGAGGCAGGAGGAGCACAACTTCAAGGCCAGCCTCAGCAACTTAGTGAGTTCTAAGCAACTTAGCAAAACTTTTTTTCAAAATAAAAAGGGCTGGGAATATGGCTCATTGGTAAAGTGTCCCTGGGTTCAATCTTCAGTTTCCTACCCACCACCAAAAAAATCATTGCTTATCTTAGATTCAGATTTATCTGGGCATCCTGTGTTGTTGTTTGCTAAATCCAATAATCCTAGGTCTTGAGCAAATTTTTCAATTTTTCTGAGCTTAATTTCTTAGTTGTAAAGTGGGGCAACCTCATACTTTTCCTAGATATAAATCAGACAAGATTCAATGAAGTGGGCTGGGGATGTGGCTCAAGTGGTAGCGCGCTCGCCTGGCATGCGTGCGGCCCAGGTTCAATCCTCAGCACCACATACAAACAAAGATGTTGTGCCTGCTGATAACTAAAAAATAAATATTAAAATTCTCTCTCTCTCTACCTCCCTCTCTCTCTTAAAAAAAAAAAAAAAAAGATTCAATGAAGTTTTTCTTATCATGCCCAGAGCCCAGAATCCAACATAGTCAGGTATTCAATAGATGGTACTTGCTATTACTGCTATTAACAAACCCATGTTATTCTCTATTTCAGCTACCTTGTCACAGGTGACATTAAGGGTAACATTAAGTTCTATGACAGCACCCTGTCCATTGTTAACTGGTACAGTCACTTCAAACTGAGTTCCATAAGGAGTCTATCCTTTTCAAATATCCCAGCAAATCCTCCTACTGAGGAATCAAACTTCCTTCCGGACTGTACTTTAAAAGGTGACTTTTTCATTGTCAGGTAAGTTGTTGATAAATCTAGTCATCTGGAATGTCAAATAATGTCTGGGGTCATCTTTTGTTTGCAAGTAGTGGAACATTCCTCTTGTTCCTCAGATGTGAAATGAAGAGGCCTAGCCTTTCTCCTCAGCCCTTTACCTGCTTATAGATGGTCTCCTTTGCTGATTGCGAAGGATCATTGGATCATTTTTTTAATATAAGGAACCTTGAGTAACTAGAAGCTGGGAAGTCCTTATGCTGTGCTCTCTCACCTCTGTTGAGCCTTGAGTCCTTGGCCACAGTTGCTCTCTTGCTCTGAGCTGAGCTTGTCCCAGCCACTGTGGTTAAAGGCGCTAGATAATTAATAGCCATAACATTTCAAGACCGAATTATCTGTGAGTCTGCTTAATTACCCTTGCAGTCTTTACAGGCACATCTGTATATGTGCACCCAGCTCCATATTTGCATACACAAATGAATATTTGCATGTGCAGATTAGCTAATTGTACAACTGACTGTCCATCTGCATACTTAATGACTCAATTTACATGTAGAAAAGTGGGCTTTTTTCACTTGCAAATGGAGGCTGTTGGGTATTGGTGGTGTATTTTTGGAGATGTTGGGTTAATAATGTCACTAAATTACAGATGACAGAGGCGTTTCGTGTGCAATTAGAGGCAGAATGGCTGGCGTGCCCCATTCCCTGCAAACACTGATACTGTTTGGTCTCTCCTTGGCAAACAGGAATTTTATCATTGGAACATCTGATGCCTCGGTGTACCACTTAACAACAGATGGCACCAAACTTGAGAAGTTATTCATAGAGCCCAAGGATGCCATTTATGCCATCTCCTGCCACCCATACCAACCTCTAATCGCCATTGGGAGTGTCTGTGGGATAATTAAAGTGTGGGATTATGAAAAGAAGAAGTATCTTTTCAGCAGGGTCTTTGAGAAAGGGCTTGGAATCCAGAGTCTGACCTACAACCCTGAAGGTATGTTCACCTCTCCAATCTATCACGGGTTCCAAGTCCAAAACACGTCCACAGGGGCTATGCCCGTAGCTGCCAGGGCTCCAGGAAGTTGCCCCCGATAGAGGAGACGCCTTCTCTCTGAGAATGCTGTGGCCCTCTGGACCTCCTGCTCTCTGAGAGCTCATGCCAAGTGTCCAGCTTTTCAGTTTATTTCTCTTATAGAGACTTTGTTGTGCTGGTCGCTGTCTGCTCTGTACCTAGGACCAAGCCTGGCTCAGACTCCTGTTTCTCAAATGGAATAAAGTCCTTTTTCCATCAGGGTTCTCTGGCTTGTCATTTCAGGAGCTCTGCTTGGAGCTGGCTTCACAGAGGGGACAGTTTATATTCTTGACGCAATGTCCTTAGTAAATGAAACCCCACAGGCTTTCAAGTATTCCAGGACCAGCGTGACTCACGTCAGCTTCTCTCATGACTCCCAGTATATGGCGACTGCTGTAAGTATCTTCACTGACTGCTGGCGGGTAGCTTAGCACCCTTACTGAAGATCAAAAGAGGGCCCGTCGGGGAAAGTGGGGGTGACGGCACGTGCTAACGTTGCAATGATGGATGCACAACTCTGTGGCTGCGCTAAAAACCACTGGACCTTGCACATTAAATGGGTGAGCTGTGTGGTATGTAAATTATATCTCAATAGGCTGTTTCCAGCAAGGGGTGGGGGAGGTAGAAGGCCTTTTGCCTGTGCACAAAATTAGGCCTCAGAACTTCCAGACGTGGCTTCTTCTGTGATGGCACCTATTCTTTTAATCTTTGCCTCTCATTGTTGACAAGATGAAATCTCCTTGATTTCAGAGCAGCATCCTCTACCCAGCATTTTGTATTCTGTTCCTTCCTCTATTCTTAGGGCTCATGGTCTCAGGAAGGATATTCTAGACCTTTGACTTCTCCCTCCTGCCTGTACCACTGGTCTGCTTTTCTTGGGGGAGAAGTACCTTCCCTGGCCCCCCAGCCTCTGAGGGCCTCTACTGCTGCACAAGTCGCCTCTCCTCTGAGGTGCTTTCGCCAGGGCAAAGGCATTGGGGCACACAGCTTGGGAATATGTGTCCCTCCAGACCGTGCTCTCCCACCACGGCCTCTGTCATACCTTTTCTATTTTCTGCAGCTGAACAAAGAGAAGGGAGGACAAAAACAAAGGGTCAGGCTCTTGGTTTTCCGAGGAGAATGGGGGGGCGGGGCAGGACTTGGAAAGAAGAGTAAGACTCCAGTGTCAGATGAACTCTTTTTCTCCCGTCCACCTTTGTCTACTTGTAACTGTAATTTTCTCATCTGTGAAATTATTTTACTGCATGTTCTGACAGAGTAAGATTTTTTTGGATAAGATATTCTGAGTTTTTTTTTTTTTTTTGGTACCATGGAATGAACCCAGGGGTACTTAACCACTGATCCACATCCCCATCTGTTTTTATATTTTATTTAGAGACAGGGTCTCGCTAAGTTGCGTAGAGCATGGTAAGTTTCCAAGGCTGGCTTTGAACTTGAGATCCTCCTGCCTCAGCCTTCCAAAACTCTGGGATTACAGACGTGTGGCACTGTGCCTGGGTGGATAAGATATTCTAAAAGCAAAATTGTTGTGAAGAGCATAAACATGATTCTTAAGTCATAACATGAAAAAAAATAATAAATGACTTCTGCTCCTGTGCTTGTATCCAGGATGTAAATTTCACTGTGGCTGTGTACATGGTGGTAGTTAAAAGTGGACAAAGGGTCTGGGAATATTTAGCAAGACTCCGCTCTCACCGCAAAAGCATCCAAAGCCTCCTATTTGGGGTTCACCTGGACAGCAACGAGCCTAGGCTGCTGAGCCTGGGTTCAGACAGACTCTTGGTGAGCTGTTTAGTTTTGTTTTCCTGGTCTCCAGGACTGTGTCTTATTCTCGTTACAATATCCCTGGCATCTTGCATAGAACAGGCCCGCAATGTGTGTTTGTTGGAGACAAGGAGTACCCAGCACAGTGTTAGATCCTCCCCGAGTCAGCATCTTGCCTTAACACAGCTGTGACACTGTATTGGGATTCGGGGCCTGAAGGAGGGGCTCCTGGGAAGGGGCAAGTGGGAAGGCAAGGGAATAGGGTATCCCCCACAGCATGGAAGACTCAGGCTGGGGATGCAGCTCCATGGTAGAGCACTTACTTAGCATGTATGACACCTGGGTTGAACCCTCCAAGCTCCTAGAGGACAGGAGATAAAAAGAGAGACAGTGCAAGCACAATATTAAGGGATGAAGTCAAAAGGATTCCAAAGCATTCAGTGTATCCATCTGTGGTTTCTTCCTCCCTCCTTTCATCTTCTCTCTCTACTCCCCCTCTGCCTTCCTTTTCTGCTTTTCTTTATTCTATCCATTCATCCTGGAGTACCCACTAAAACATATCTATGGGAAAATGCAGCAGGTTACTAATTTGTGATCATTAAATGCTGAGATTTAGATATGAATTAGTTCCTGCTCTTAAAGAGTTTGCAAGATAATATTAAGGGTGCAGAATAACATAACTGTAAGAGTTCAAGTTGGGGTCATTTGGACCTGAATTTGAAGTTTCCCTCTACCATTTCTTAACTGCGTGGCCTTGGGCAAGCAGCTGTGAACATATATTTGACCCTCTGTGAAATGGACACAGCTACTACTCTGAAGGGAGTTGGAATTAAACTACCCAGGGCCTTACTCATCTAGGCAAGGGCTCCACCACCGCGTCACATCCCCAGCCCAAACAGTTGGCCCTGTTTCTCAGGGGAGTACTCAGTATGGTAACTTCTTCCCTACGAGATCTAAGTGATTCACCTAGATCTCAAGTTCCCAGAGCCAACACTGTCTCCCTGTGGGCTGAGGATTAGAAAGGCCAGCACCCAGAACTTGAGGCTCCTTGAGTGAGCTCTTCATCCAGCTCAGTCCTCACATGTGTCTTCCTGGGTTCTTCTGCAGATAGAGTATAATCTCAACAAGAGCTACAAAGACAACCTGGAAGTCCTGGACATACACCGAACTGACCAGGGCAATTACCCAACCTGTATGGTCTGGTACCCGCCACTCGTCAAGGAGCAATTCTTGCTTATTTGCAACAGTGGCTACAAAATGAAACTTTTTAATTCGACCACCAAAATGTGCAGGTGAGTGCAAGGTTCGCCTGGATCAGCTCCTCCGCCCCCAGTCTGTTTCAGGTCTCCGCCCAAGGGCCCATGACATTTTGGCTACTGTAATCATCCTCCTCACTTTGCAGAGGAAACTCAGGCACAGAAACACAAGTAGTTTTCACGCAAGGTCACACAGCCCGGCAGGCTAGTACAGCTTAGAGGTAGGATGCCCAGAGCTTGATGCTTATGAATCAATGAATGAGACAGAGTCTGGGGCCCAGGAAAGGTTGCTGATGCTCTCCAGTGCCTGGCTCTTCTATGTGAAGAAAGCCATATTTTCACCAGACTACTCCCAGCTTTTTTAAAAAAAATTTCTCACCCTGGCTCTCAAAGGTGGCATCATTTGTCCCCTGTCTGCATGAGCCAGCCTCTGTTCCAGGTGCTGAAGGGGGGAGGGGTAAAAGCCAAACAGCAGGCTGTGGCTGGGGCTCAGTGGTAGAGCGCTCACCTGGCACGCGTGAGGCACTGGGTTCGATCCTCAGCACCACGTAAAAATAAAATAAAGGTATTGTGTCCACTTACAACTAAAGAAATGCATATTAAACAAAACAAACATTTCTCCATAGTGGGGCTTACACTTGCAGTAAATGCAGAAATTGACCAGGTGGTGAGGGAGCAGGTGCCAGGGAGTGGTGGCATGCAAAATGACCCCAAGAGGTGGGGTCCTGGGAAAGAGGAGCTGCTGTTTTCAAAGGGTAGCAGGGGATACCTCAGAGTAGGTGACATTAGGCAGAGACTTGAAGGAGGTGAGGGGGCAGGCTAGGGCATTGGAGGAAAAGACCTCCAGACAGGATCTGCACATGAAGAGAACTGAAGACAGAAAGCATCTGGGTTTGATAAATGCTAGGAAGTCTTGGTTGGAGTGGAGTGGGCAGGGGAGAGTATGGGAGAGCTCAGCCTGGGCCGGGCACCTGACACCTGGCCTCTGTCCGGGTTCTGGACTCTGGGGTACAGAGGGCAAAGGTAGAGCAAGGTCAGGAGGCTATTGTAAGAGATGATGGTGGCCCCAAGGGGTGACAGGGAAGGAGTTAGGTTCTGGGTACATCGTGCAAGCAATGCTAACAAGGTTTGCTGGTCGTCATTCTGCATGCCACCACTCAGCGGCACCTGCTCTCTCACCGTGTGGTCATTTACTGCATTTACTCTGAGTGAGAGGAATGTGTCAGGCCCCCAGGGTCCTGGCCTGAGCAGCCAGAGCAGCAGGACTGACCTCAAATCAGATGAGGAAGGACAGGTCTGAGACAGTCAGGACTGGAAGTTTAGACCAGGTAAGTTTGAGATTCTACTCATCATCCACGTAGGAATACCCGGCTTAGGTGCTTGAGTCCAGAGGTCATGAAGTAAGCTGGGCTGGAGGTCAAGAGGAAAGAAGGGTGGTTTAAAGCCACAGATAGGAGATGTCGAGGTAAGAGTAGATGAAGGTTGAAGGCCAAGCCTAGGGCATGCACAGCTGGTGTCTGAGTGCAGCACCTTTCCTGCAGAAGTGGTCCTGCAGCCAGGGGTGGCCACAGGGTGTGCTGGACCTGCAGACTTTGGGCTTGCTCCTCCCCATGGGCACAGATGTGTGTCAGCTCTGTCCAGACCTGCACTCATTATCCATTTCACCCTCAAAACCCTGTGTCCTGCTGAGGTTCAGGTCTTCCCAGTGACACAGCTGGGCAGGACAGGCAAGACTTGATCTTCAAACCTCGCTCTGACTCTGACCTCTACTACAGACTGCACAGACCTGTGCAGCCTGGCTTTGGGTCCTGCCTGGACAGAACTGGAGGGGATTTTCTGCCTCTCAGGTTTAGCTAGAAAGAGGCAGAGCCAAGCAAAATTGGGAGCGACAGCATTTCCCGGGAGCAGGTAGGTGGAGAGCTCGCAGCAGCAACTGTGTTAGAGGACAACCACTGTTGTGACGAATGTCTCAGATGAGATAGGGCCTGCAAGCCCCGGTCATGGGGTCTTTTTTTCTTCCTTAAAAGTTTTTTTTTTTTTTTTCTAGAAAGCATAAAGAAAAATAAGAAATTCCACATTATATGGTAGGAAGAGAAATCCAGTACAATTTAGCGGGGAAAAATCTATTAAAACACTTGAAGAATGTATAAAGAAGAGTTTTAGGAAGATTTTAGAATCTCTGTGCATCATCTCTAATGGATGCACACTTCTAGGGCAAAGACTATCCCACAGATACTCTGCATTTGCAGGGCAGGAGAGTTAGGGATGGCATGCCTCAGGCTTGACATTCCTGCTAACAACTATCAACAAGAGAGACTTCTAGCCACACATTTAGCAGTTTTGCCTATTGGAGATCAATCTGAAATTAGCATAAGTCATCTTTTTTTAAAAAAAATATTTTTTTAGTTGTAGATGGACACAATATCTTCATTCGTTTATTTTTTATGTGGTGCTGAGGATCGAACCCAGGGCCTCACACTTGCAAAGCAAGTGCTCTGCCACTGAGCTACAGCCCCAGCCTCACATGAGTCATCTTTTAAGAAGATAATTTATAAAGATAAAATTCACATAACGTGAATCTCAGCATTTAAAAATGAACAATGCAGTGAAGTCCCACACAGCCACAGTACTGTGCAGCCGCCACTCTTGTTTCTAACGTCTGTGTCCTTCCGAAATAAAACCCCTTGCAGGAGACATCTTCCATTTGTAGGAGAAGTAAAGCCTCATAACCCCAGCTTAATGGGGAAGGAGTTGCTTTTTCTGATAAATCCAAAATAATTTTAAAACACATTTTAAAAATACTTGAAAGAACATGAAAAGGCAGTTCACAGAAAAAGGCCAATAAACATGAGCAGATGCTCAGCAGTCTATCAAAGATGCAAATGAAAACAAGATATCATTTTTTACAAATCATATTAGCAAAGATAAAAATGATCGATAGTGCCAAGTGCTGGCAAGGGTATGGGAGTCGGACGCTCTCTCCCGCTACGGTGGGGGTGCAAATTGGTGCAACCTTTTGGGAAAGCAATTTGTCACCCTCTATTAAATTTTATCATATCTTCTGAATTCTAGGAATGGAGCCCACAGACGTACTCACACAGTTATGCCAAGACATAAGTAAAAGGATCTCTTGTTTGAAAATATGTTTTAAAATGGAAACAATCCAAATGTCCATTAATAGGGGGTTAGTTAAATGATGGATTGTCAGTACACTGGAACACGGTGCCGCTTTTAGAAAAGAAAAAAAAAGAAAGTAAGATAGTTCTCTATGTGATAACAAGGAAATATCTCTAAGATATAAGATTAGATAGAGCAACTTGCCAAATAAGCATAAACAGTATACTTCTAACTTCATATGAGATCATAATTACAAAAGAAATTCTCAAATCATGTACATCTATTTCCCAGGCTTATCCTGGGACAGGGTGCAGCAATGTGGTGTTATAGGTTTATGTGTCTAAATGTTTGAAAATTTTCACAATTAGTATATAATATTTTTTTGGTTAGAAGAAAAAGATAATTAATTTACAAGATTGTCTGATAGGCTTAATAATACAGTTATGTGGTGGCAGTTAGGTGGCTGTGTGCCAGAAACCATTCTGAGGGCTTCATACATATTGAGTAATTTGACGTCCAGTACAGCCAGTGTAGGGGCCAGTGCTGTCCTTATCCCTATCTTACTAATAAGGAACCGGAAGCACAGATAGCACCTAACCTTTTCTTTTTTTTTAAAGAGAGAGAGAGAGAGAGAATTTTTTAAATATTTATTTTTTAGTTTTCGGCGGACACAACATCTTTGTTTGTATGTGGTGCTGAGGATCGAACCCGGGCCGCACGCATGCCAGGCGAGCACACTACCGCTTGAGCCACATCCCCAGCCCCCCTTTTCTTTACTTTGAAATTTATTATTAATAATGATGACCCATGAAATCATCCTAATTCTGTTAGAAGCCCTCAGGGCTCACTGGGTACAAATAAGGGGTCCTGAGCTTATGTGCTGCCGGCCCCAGGGAACATCTAGCCCTGGCCTGGAGTGAGCCCTAGTTATAAAACAGTCTGAATTAGAGGAGTCTAAGCCAGGAGTAGCCACACACACCTGAAGTACCAGCTCCTCAGGAGGCTGAGGAGGAGGATTGCTGACACCCAGGAGTTTAAGGCAACATAGCAAGACCCCGTCTCAAAAAAGAAAAGTTGAATTAGAGAAGTGTCACCAATACCGTTGCAATCTGATGCATGAGCACAGATGGGCTTTGGAAATCTGTGTGTAGCACGCACCTGTGTAAATCAGACACATGGAACAAAGCGTAGATGTCATCCTCATCTTGAGGCCTCACACTGGGACTGGGGTGCTCTCTGTGTCCTGCCAGTGAGCGTCCTTTCCTTGCAGCTTCTTTCTTGTTTCTTGTTCACGTGTGCTTTAAGTCGTTGACACTTCCGCAAGCACTCTTCACAGCCAGGCTCCCCAGAGCGTTTGCTGTTTGGAGTTGTTGCCTCTTATTTACAGCAACCGTTCGCAGGGACTGGGAAGGGCTCTTACATCCCAGCTGAGCTGAGTGACAAGACAGGAAATTCAGAATCAAAAAATGCATAAGATCATCATGACCAAAGAGTCCCAAAGCCTGTGTTTAGATTTGTGGAATTTAAAAATCCATTCCTTTTTTCCCATCCAGAAAGACGCTTCTTGGGCCAACTTATGGATCTCCTATCAAGCAGACGCAGGTCCTCCCGGTGAAAACCACCCTGGATCTACAGAGGCGCTACCTGGTGTTCATTAACAAAGACAAGGTAGCAGCCCTCTGCTCTCTACCTCTACTCTCTATCTCTCACCCGTGGGCGGCAGTCAGTCCCAAGGACTGACAGACTCAAGGACACCTGGTCTGCTGGCCACATGTAACCACTTCCGTCCAGGGTGATGTGATAGTAAAAATTGCTAGATTAGTGAGCAAGACTCTGGACCAGTATCTGTAGGTGGACCTGCTGTATTTTCTGTATCTCCAGTGAAGACACGTGGCCCTCTTTTTCCAAAGGATGGAAAAAAGTCTTTTTTTTTTTTTTAATCTTTTTCTTTTTTTTTAAGTTACAGATGGACACATTAACTTTATTTATTTTTATGTAGTTCTGAGGATCAAACCCAGTGCCTCACATGTGCTAGGCCAGTGCTCTACCATTAAGCCACAACCCCAGCCCTTGGAAAAGTCTTTTTAAAGACATGAAAATTAGTTATACCTAGTTGTACATTTCACAAATCATCTATGTAGGAAAGTAGAAAGTCATAGATTGTAAGAATTATTCTGGAAACCCCTGGACATCTGATTGCGAGGATAGGGAGGAAGGCTCCCCGTCTCTCATGTGCGAAGCTGTGAGGGGCGCCCATCTCCCCCAGCAAGGGCCAGTAAATGGATGCTCTGCTACAGTCCACATGCCTCCCACACCCTAAGATGGTTCTGGACACACAGGTTCTTGCAGCTCATGGATCAGGAGGTGACATGCAGCCGGCCAGGCCTGGGTTGGGATCCGGTTGCCTGAGACTGAATGTCCTATTACATATTCCTTCCTAGGTTGGACTTCAGATCTTGCCAGTTGATGGAAATCCACACAAGACATGCGCTATTGTCTGCCACCCGGATGGGGTGGCCGGGATGGCTCTTTCCTATGACGGCTCTTATGCCTTCACAGTAGGAGGACGGGACCGCTCAGTGGTGCAGTGGGAAGTCAACTTAAGGTGCGTGACAGGACACCTTGGCCTCTGAAGGAGGCGTCAACCCCTTCTTTTCACTCAACAGCAGCTGACAGCTGTGGAGCCCTACCATATGGCAGACACTTTGCTAGGATGTCACAGAGCCTGGAAGGATGCCCCTTGTAACACCTGTTTACTGTACAGACCAAGAGTTGCCGTGCAGTCTCGTGGGCCATGGGACTGAATTGATGCTTTAGGTTATTCGAGTCCACCTCGACTCACCGTGCTCCCTGAATACCCCTCATTGTCACATCCACACCAGCCGGAAAGATCTAGGCTGAATCTCCAAAGTGTACATTACAGAATTAGAGTATTATTTGAAATGTGTACTTTCAGTCTCCTCTTCTCACCCTTCCTGCCCTGAACTGAGAACCTCTACCTAAGGTGATTCTGGAGGATTCTAGGGTTGAACATCAGAGAGTACAGGGACATGGGTTTGAATATGGAGCCTACTCTGCTGGCTGTGGGACCTAGGGCAGTTTCTTAATATCTCTGATATTTAGATTTCTCATCTGGGAATGAGGGTAACAATAGAAACCTTTACAGGTCCCTTGTAAGGATAATATATGTGAAGTACCTAATGTAGCTAGATTACACCTGTAATCCCAGCAATTTGGGATACTGAGGCAGAGGGATCACAATTTCAAGGCCAGCCTCAGCAATGTAGCAAGACTCTGTCTCAAAAAAAAAAAAAAGTATTATTTAGTGCAAAGCTATGTATGCAGCAATGAATGATCACCTTCCCTTTTCTTGATGAGAGTGTTCACTTATGAGCTCAGGATCTTTCTCACTGAGAGAAGGGAGAAGCACTAAAATGATCCCTTCAGCTACTCAAATCCAGTCAACTGCAACGGGGATGGAACAAACCACTCAGCAGCAAGTTCCCAGTTGAGAACACCCTCTCTGTGTCCCCGCTCTGCCTCTGTTTCAGACCTTTCCCAATAGTGTGACTTTAGGGGTAAATAGAGACAGCTTGGAGGCACCTTCCTTCCTCAAAAACACAACTTGATTCCTCCTCCTGCCAAGCACACACCTTCCTCTTTACAGTGGACACTCAGGCTTCTCCTCTTAACAGAAATTTGAGTGAAAATAGCCTGTGGAGTCCACTCTGGTGCTCAGGTGGCTTGAGATGGCAGCTGCAGCTCTGACTTTAATCTGAGCCTTCACCCAAGAGAGCAGGGCCGGGGCATGGGGCGTTAGCAGCCGGAGGTGAGCGCTTCCATTGAAAAGCCCTTCCTGAGCATGTCCTGTGTGAGGTACTTGATTCCGTGCCACCTGTAACCTTAGTGCAGGTGATACCCTGGTGGGAAAGCAGTCTTCCCTTTTTCATTCTTGTCCTCTTCTCAGCCATCCCGGGATCTAGAAGGGTAGGGATTAATAAAAACAAAACCAAAAGACCTGCTTTCCAGTAGCTTTCCCATGCCTGGCCAGAGTCCAGGCTTCTGAGAATTTCAATTTAATCTGTTGTGGGGACAAAGGATCATTATAAACTAATTAGCACTTTATTGCTGCTTCTGGTGACTTAATATGTTCGGCGCTTCACTAATGGAAAGAAATGTAAAAACCCTAAACAAGGAAACAAACAGATTTCCTACTAGATGGCAGAATTTTAGGGTGAAAGGAAGATGACAGATCCCCTCGTGTTCCGATGCTTCTAATTAGCACGTGTCCAGGCCCAGACGCCGGGGTTGCGGCATTCAGAGCTTTTTCTCCAGCACCCCTTCTGCCACCCTCCCGGTGCTTGTCCCACATTCCCCTTCCTGCTCGCCGCCTTTGCTAGCGTGCTTCCCTTTTCCTCTCCCTGGCATGTGTTTTAAAATCCTCCATTCCCTTTTTATGCTCAGCCTGGCTGTCTCCTCTTCTCCTGCCGCCCTATTCAGATAAAAGCAGAAACTTTGATTCAAGTCTTAACTTCACCATTTATTTACTGGATGACATCAGGCAAGTCTTGTAACTTCTCTCAGTTCCTCCATTAAATGGGAGCATCATCATTGAGTTCAGACTGGCTTTGAGGGTAACGATTACCACCATTGTTATTGCTCTGCCTTCTCCAACTTAGGCAGAAAGGTGGGGGAGTTATGAGAAGGTCATCAGGATCCTGTGTAGCTGTGTGGCAGTAGGAGCAGGGACAGTGACACTTGCCACTGTCCCCATCCCTGTCTGCCTGGCTCTGTGGTTGGCTTCTCTCTGCAGAACTAGGTTTGGTTTCTCAGTAGGAGTGTGGCCACTGACAGTTCCTCAGTTTCACAAATTGTAGTTCTCATCAGAGGGGGAGCGAGTCTCTCTCCCTCTTTCCCTGGTGGGAGAAATCCTGATACAGTCCTTGGCCCCTCTGGGTCAGCTGACCACGGTCAGGAAGCAGGGCATGTGGTCAGTCCTGACCAGCATAGCCCAGAGTGTTGGGCTGTCCAGGAGAGCCAGGAGCTCGTGCAGCCTCCCATCTGGGTTCCTTGGTAGTAATGGGCTCCTCTGGGTCCCTGCCATGCTCCAGGACCACATGGCTGAAGGTGGGGGAACCCCGAGGGCTGAAACCTCCTCCACAGCCCAGTGTCAGAGCCAGGAATTGGGGTGAGGACCAGGCCCTGCAAGAGGGGACCTTGAGCCTATTTGGAGAAGGCACCAGGTGCCCAAGCCCTGGCACTGCCTACTGAGCTTGGGCAGAGCCCTGACAGCAAGACAGTTTTGTGGGTATCTCTTTGTAAGAGAGGGTAGGGGCATGGCGGTTCTGTTTCCATGGTATCAGTGATCCTAAGCACTTTGTTTGGAGTCTTTCTTCTGGGCCAGGCCTGTACGGAGTGCTTTTCACATGTCCCTCCTGCTGTCCTGTCCTGTGAGGTGGGCACTGTTGTTATCCCCACATAGAGGTGAAGAAGCTCACTGTGTGGGGTACATCGACGGCTCAAATGGAGTAAAGGGAATACGTGCGGCTGGGATCCTGCAAAGCCAGGCTTGCTGCCCTGATCCCCACTTCCAAACACACTCCACAGGAAGAGACCAAGGACCTGGCAGCAAATCCTCCCTGAACACTCACTTTTCAGATCCTTCCAGCAACCTTTGTGCACCTTCCCACCTCACAGATGAGGAAACAGAGGCTGGGGTCAAGTTTCATGCCCACAGTCAGTCCACAGCTTGCAAGCATCCCTGTGGCTCTACATTCCAGACGTGGAGCCCTTTCCCCACAGTGTGCCGCATTGCAGTGTTTTAATGTCCCAGCGGAGGGGCCAATCACCAGTTAGCAGAAGCCCAGTTCATGGACTGGAATATTATAAAGATTTCAGCTTATTAGCCTTTTATATGAGACAAAGTCAGTCTTATACCAAAGTAGGTTTTCTTACCACTTAAAGGACCTATTTTTGGAAATCTGACCCTGTATTAGAGAGCAGAGGGTTATTCTTGTCTGACTGGCATGGGTCCCTGTGGTCTCCTGAGTTTTTGTGTAAGCAATTAGAGTTGGCGGTCCACCTGCACGGTTTCCCAACCTTTTGGTGTCTAAAGTTACCGGTAAAGCTGCTCTGCTTGGGAGTATGTGGTTTCAGAATACAAGCACCCACCTACCCTCCCTTAAGAAAGATGTGGTCCCCAAAGACTGCAAGCAAATTACCAAGCACCTGCCCTGTTATCAGCTAAAGAACACAACCATAATTAAGGTGGGTGCCCTGTACCACCGAGTCCCACACTTGACATTGAATTTTCTGTCTCTGGCTTCATTACAGAGGGACTTCTCTGACGGAGTTGGCAGAGACCTGCACTGGACTGGTGGCTCAGTGCCCTTCAGAGGGCCCTGCTCCAGGCAGAGCCCTGCCTGGGCCGTGTTGGAGCATGAGTGCCTCCTAATTGTGACTTTCTGTTGCTGTTCCAGTGCCCTGGAGGCTGCGGTTTCTCTTGGGGGTGAAGACTTGACCCCGTTCTATGGTCTGGTGTCTGGTGGCAGGGAAGGAAAGTTCTACAGGGTAATTGTCCTCAGAATAAATGCTTCCTGCTACATCTAGTTAAGTCTGTAGAAGAGACACGCCTGGGCTTGGCCCTTGTTGTTTTTCTCCCAAACTCCTTTCCCTGCTAAGCTCAAAACATACTTTGTAGAGAATGTACTTGAACTCTTAACACCCTTGCCTAAGCCAGAATGCCGTGTTTCCATTTCATCTCCACACAGGAGCTGGAGGATTATTTTTACTACTCTCAGCTCCGCAGTCAAGGTATTGATACAATGGAGACCAGGAAGGTGTCGGAACATATTTGCCTGTCGGAGGTTCCTTATGTCATGAGAGCAATTGGCTTTTACCCATCCGAAGAGAAGGTAGGTAGGACAGAAACAAGAACGGGGTGGATGCGCTATTTATAACAACTACCTCTGGGAAGATAATTATAGGTCAGAGTAGAAGTTTAACATTTTTCTTACATAAATGGATCAGAAAGAAGGTTGTGGGCATTTCAGATGCACTCCTGAGTAACTGATTTACAATAAAGACACGATCCCAGCTACTCTAGAGGCTGCGGCAGGGGAACTGTGAGGCCAACCTGTGCAACACGGCGAGACCCCCAACTCCAAAACCAAACAAATAGAAAGATGCGTGTCATTCCCCAAAGATGTGTTCCTTATGGAAGTTCCATATTGGGGAACCCGGGACTTACAATATGGGTTCTGGAACTGGACAGACAGCACCCTGCTGCGCCCTGGCAGGAAGAGGTCTGGCCTTCTCAGATTTGAGGGGACGCCTGGGGGGCCCTGGGCATGGAGGAAGAACTCGGCATTTCAATCACTTTTATTGTCACTGTAGAGTGCGTGTGTTAATGGGGCACCTCTGGGAGGTGGGGACCCTTCTGGACTGAGGAGGAGCCCAGTCAGTCATTTGTCACGCAGCGGAGATAGGCAGAGACACCCCCACTGCAAGAGCTCCCATCAGGGACAAGAAGCAGCCCAGGGGGGCATCCTCAAGTGAACTGTTTTTTTTTTGGTACTGGGGATTGAACCCAGGGGCACTTCACCAATAAGCTAATCTCCTGTTCTTTTTTCCTTTATTTTGAGATAAGATCTCATTAAGTTGCTGAGGCTGGCCTCACACTTGCAATCCTCCTACCTCAGCCTGGCATGTACCCTGTACCCACCTTACACATACATGCATAGTTTTAAAAGGCTTTTTGAAATAATTTTTTAGTTTTAAAAAATTGGTACTAAATTGAATATATATTTCTATCTTATTTTTTACTTAATATTATATCATAAGCACTTTCCATTTTACCATAAAATCTGTGAAAACATGCTCTCTAAAGGATATATTTTAATTTTATAACTTTTTCTGATTTAAAAAATAGAACTGTAAAGAGGAAAATAGAAACTAGAGATGATCACTGTTATTATTTGGTGGATATATATATATATATATATATATATATATATGTATATACATACTATATAAAGAAAGATATGTTTATATTTTTAAACAAAGAATTGGCATTCAATGGTGTAAATATGTATGTGTGTGTGTGTGTATATATATATATACACACACACACACATCAACATTATACAGTCCGTATATGTGTAAGTACTTGGCGTACGTATGTATGTGTGTACATGTATCGGCATTCTCAGTAACGACTGGTTGGTGAGGTTGATGGTGAAAGTCCCTTGATGGCCTGCCTTTAGAGGCTTGTACCCAAATGAACAGTCCCCCAGCTGGTGGACACAGAGGTGGTCTGAGTATTTGGCCAGCAGACACAGCTGTGATGAGCGTCTCTGAGCAGGGGTTTTGCTTACTTTTCCAGTTATTTTCTTGGGTCATTCTGAGAAGCAGAATGACTGAGTCAGAGAACATGAACTTGTCGGCCCCCATGTTGCCTGGCTGCTGTCCAACACTGTGGCCTGTTACCCACCTGCCATCAGGCACACACAACCCCTGAAGCCCAGTGGAGTCTTGATGTTCATATTAGGTGACAGAGCTCCAGGGGCCTACCCAGAATCATGTATTGTGTGTGCTTGAAGGTGGCTTTTATTTTCAAGTAGCATCTGGAGAGAGAAATGAGTCATTGGAGCCCACAGCCCATGGCTGAGTCCTAAATGAGGACCTTGAACACCAGGTGTTCTCTAAGCGCCACAGAGGGGGTTCCTGATGTGCATTTTGTAAACACAAGACTGGTACCACACTGCTACCAAGAAGGGGTATGCGGCCTACGTAGTGGTTTTCTTTAAGCTGGTGTTGTGTCTATAGTCCCTGGTACATGGGAGGCTGAGGCCAGAGGGGCACTTGAGCCCAGGAATTCAAGGATATTCTGGGCAACATAGCAAGACCTCATCTTAAAAACAACAAACAAACAAACAACAACAAAATAGTATTCCTTAGAGCTATATTTTCCAGACCTAACCTTCCAATGCTGGTTCCCAAACTGGTCAGCCACATCAGAATTATCTGGAGAATGTCCTCAAATTTCCAATTCCTGGGTCACATCCCTGATGGAACTAATCCGTCTCCAAGTACAGGGCCTGGCACTCTGTATTTTCACCTCCCTGGGTTCAATCCCCAGCACCACGTGGCGGGGGCGGAGGGTGGGTATTGCATAGGATAAAAAAAAATGGGTCCACTATTCAGAACTTTAAAAGGTCCCTGGGCTCTGGAATCTGTAAGTGATGAACACTAGAGCATTCCCCAAGCTCATTCCATTATGGAAACCTTCTCATTTCCTGAGGAAAGCCCAGCTCACACCTTACTGCCCCCACTCCATTGCATTTCACCTTCATGGTTGTATCTGTGGTTCTTTTTTTTTTTTTAGCTAAACGTGTATCTTAAACTGATACCCATCTTCTCTGGGTGATTGCTTGGCACAATGCCTGGTGCTTCAAGATTGAGGAAAGAAAAGGAGCCGATCTTGGTGGGAAGTGCAGGGGACTCAGAATTAGTTGACCTGATGGCCATTCCTAGCTGCTGGATCTGCAAGTCATTTCAAAGATAGTCTGAGTTCCTGGATCCTTGACTCTAAGATGAGGCTGGAAAAACCTGCAACCTCAGTGTTGCCATGAGACTAAAGAACAAAGGCCAGGCAGCACCCAGCACAGAGTAGGCACTTACTCAGTGGGATGCTTCTGCCAGGCACGGTGGTACAGGCCTATAATCCCAGCAATTCAGGAGGCTGAGGCAAGAGGATTAAAAATTCCAGGCCAACCTTAGCAACTTAGCATGACCCTGTCTCAAAATAAAAATTTTAAAAAAGGCTAGGGTCTAGCTCAGTGGTAGAGCTCCCCTGGGTTTAATCCCTGATATCCCCACACCAATACTTCTTCATCCTGCATTTCTCATCAAAATGGCATGTTCTTTTTAAGAGGTTGATGGGATGGTGATTTTTTTCTCATTTTTTACTTTTTATGGTAGAAAATTCCAAAAATCCACAATAGTAGACATTTATCCTATCCTTGGCAAAAAAATAATAATTATAATAATAATAATGTATAACAACCTACCAAAATCTTGCTGATGAATAATAGGTATCTAAAAAAATAATTTTTTAAAGATGGACACAATATCTTTATTTATTTTTACTTATTTTTATGTGGTGCTGAGGATCAAACCCAGTGCCTCGCATGTATGAGGCAAGGGCTCTACCGTTGAGCTATAATCCCAGCTCCTAGAAAAATAATTTTTAGTCTATAGCAAATGTTTATAAAGTGACATTGATAATTATTTACAAACTAAAAACTAAAAAAAAAAATGGAATAAAACAGCAGTGTGAAGTCTCCACTGGCGCCTGCATCCGCCCATCCCCAACCCAAATGGGGAGTTTCAGGGCTGACGTCAGCATCTTCATAAATCCCTTGGACTGGGGTTTTAAATCCACTTTAAAGAATATATTTACTCTTTGGAGACACTTTCTGAAGGCCCTGGGATCCAGATGTGCCCCATACCAGTGTGCAGGCTTTGTGAGCTGATGAGTTACTTTATATCTGAAGCTGCACAGGGAGAAGTTTCTGATCTTTTGTTTTTCATGTCAGATTTATAGTGATTAAAAAAAAAAAATCTTTTCAAGGCTTTGAAACTTCTCAACTCTGGCTTTTCTGTGGTTAATGGAACACATCCATCCTATTAAGATGCAATGGTCCCCCGTACCCAAGAAGCTGCACAAAGAAGTTGGCCTAGCTAATAGTGTTTTAACACTTGGGCACATTAAAGGCTCAAGCACAGAGATCCAAACCAGCCCCGCTAAGACTATATCGTATTTATATTTTTCTTACATCATAGTAATTGCCTCAGGGATTTGAAGCTAGTCAACGTGGTAAATTGAAGCCAAATTATACAAGAATATAACCCTCCCCAAAGAATTCCTAGCCCTTCCCTTGTTTTGCAGGAAGCTACTCACAGAATACAGCTAAAGCAGTCAGAGTGGGCAGTTCTTATAAACCATGTTTTTAAATGAACGATTAGTAAAGTGTACAATGTTATCGAATGAGCCAGGACCTAGGTGTCCAGTTTATATAGCTGATGATGTCGAGAATGTTTCATCTCCCATCTTTATAAATGCATCAGGTCTTCCAGGACATTGGAGCATCGTGTTGGAGGGGCCCCTGTGCAAGGTTCCTTGGCTGTCACTCCCAGCCTCTCTTCTGTTTAACCTGTGCAGCATTGTATAATCCTGACCAGTTTTTGTAGTGAATTAACACCGTGCAACCACTTAGTTCCATAAATTTAAGGCGAATCCCAGGAGACACATGTGTGCCTTCAAAGTGCCCCCAAAGTGAACACTCCACAAGTGTTACCTGAGTGAGTAAATGAGTGAATGGTGCCCACGGGCCACATTTGACTGCAAGGACAGTGAGGAAGGAAGAATCCCTGACTTTATGATTTGACCTCTGAGTGATCATCAGGTACCCCTAATGTGTCTGCTGTGTTCAGGAGTAGTGGCATTGTTTAGGAGTGTTCGGAGAGGAAATAAAGGACTACTTGTCTTCTTAAATGTGTATATCTTTGGACTCAACAAATTTACTTTTTTTGTGTCTGTGTGGTACTGGGGAGCTTTGCTACTGAACGACTTACCCAGTCCTTTTTAATTTTGAGACAGGGTCTTGCTAAATTGATGACAACCTCAGTAACTTGTTGAGGTTGGCCTCAAACTTTCAATCCTTCTGCTTCAGCCCCCTGAGTGCTGGAGTTATAGCTGTGTGCCATCTTCCTTACCCAACAAATCTACTTTTAAGGGTATATCCTACAGGAAAAGTCTCACAGTGTACAATAATACACATAAGGAAGGGACAATTATTGCAGGATAGTTTCTAGCAGCAAAAATTAAAACAACCCTAATGTCAATTGACAG